TGAGCTTCGAGTGAGGGCGTGTGTTGTAGGCGCATCATTTACCATGATGCGAGATCAACTCGCAAGACTCAGTTCGGACGAAATTCTCTTGCGTATCGCACTTGACAACTTGGCACATTGACGCCGATGACTATGTCTAGGCGTGGGCAGTCATGGTGAGAGACTGAAACTTGTCATCGCGCGTCAACGGGGACAAAGGCGATGGGGTTGGCTTAGCGCCACTGCGCGACTACGCCAGCGATCAGCCCCGCCCCCGGAGCCCCACCCACATGCCTTTCCCCTCTGGCGACCGTGTGTGCTTTTGGTTTACATCAATCCTTTCACCGCTACGTTGTGAATGTGAATGCGAAGAGCCGCTTGTGCCAAGCGGCGAAGAAGTTGGAATTCATAGACGGCCCGAACAACTACCTACGTATGTACTAGCCTCAGTACTAACCGTAACTAAACTCCGTCCTCGATCTTGCATCTTTGCATCTTCCATCACAATATCAGAATCGCTAGGTGCCACTGCAGACACTCTGCTTGTACCACTGGAAAGTTCAGCACTACACCTAGGTAAGTTGTTACTACATCAGACATGAGTTCGTGTGCGTGATACTAAGTAGAAAGAGCAGCCATACACCCACATTCCCATACACCATGCCGTCCAAGATCAGACCGTTAGGGCCCTCACCTGTTCTGGAAACGAGATCCTCTCGTCACTACGGTGCGACCGATTTGACACGGTCTCCTCATGGCTGGCAATACGAAATGCCACCTCCGCAACCACACGATATGCCATATCCGCAACCACACGGCACCTTTGCTATCATTGGAGGGATACTACGTAGCCTACCTCTTTCGGTGGAAGAGTCTTCCTACCCGCGGCCTGTCGTGCGACGATTGAAGTATTTTGCCATGGTCAGTAGCCACGAGACAGGTATCCTCGAAGGCAATTTCCGAGACTTTCGGGATTATATTTCTGGCTATTCCAATGGATTAGTGGCAGCCTTTGGGACCAAGATGGAGGCAAGAGCATGGCTGGAAACTAAGCTGCCGTCTACAAGCGTCTACAAAGAGATTCTCGTGCCCGAGGCCGAGAAACCGAGGTACTTCATCGTGAACGAAGGTGAACATCTAGGTATCTTCGGACCCGGTAAATTCGAAGACATCCGGGCTTTGGTCGAAAACCTTCGCAATGTGGATGGATGTTAAAGTTTGGTTGGAAAGTGTGGTTGGGAACGGAAAACATTTGGAGGGATTTGGTGAGCATCGACATCTACCTTCACATCGGCATTTCCTGTTCGGGAGTGAGACTGGAAAATCCACATTTAGTTGCCAGTCATCATGGCAATGCCAAAAAACGGGGAAATGCGGACGGCGCTTGATGGATCGTGAGTCAAGATGTTGCGAGAAGGATGGATTAGTTGTTGCGATATTTGCAATATGTGATCTCTACCTAGGTATAAATTGGCTAACCAGTCTCCACTGAGGAACCACGATAGTGAGCGTCCGGCGCTCCTGACTGTTGCATGTCGAGTGCAAAATCACATCAACACCAACGCGGATGTCTCGACCACTTCACAGCTTGGAGTCATAGATGCTATGCCTGCAGCACGACACTTCCAGCGATATTCGTCACCTATCACGTGAGTAAGCCTACGTTGGTAGCACAGCGACCTCAGCTGGTTACGTTGGTTCGAGCAACGAAGGACATTCGCCTTGCCGATGATGCCGATGCGCTCTCTGAGCCGACCTAGGAACTCTGGATAAGTCCAGGCGGATACTACCCAGGTACTTGCGCAGGCTGGGGGCTCGTCACGAGGTACGCATCATGAACAGGCATCTGGCCTCTCATCGCTGTCCGATCGCCGAATCAGCCCGGTGACCTTACAGCCATCATCATATCAATCGTGAACGCGCACTGCTCGATACCGGGGCGTGGCTTCAATGCATAAGGATGCACACTAATGCAAAGCGCAAGTCGGCGAAGATCCACATATTGATGGGCGCGTGCATTTGAGCCACCGCGCCGAGCCGCCTAGCGCTGGACCGATGCACTACCGGACGTCTGCCGCAATCGCCGGCAATTGATTACCCCATTGTTCGCTTCTGGTACCTGCATTACGATGACGGTTGTTTCAGCGTCGTGTTGATGGACCCCCGAGGTCGTTATGCTCAGCTGATACCATGAGTCATGACCAACGCGAACCCGCTCTTGAGCCGACGACCTCCGAACCCGCTCACGTGCATGCCTAACAATTGAGTTACGATCGAGGAAGAACGGCGGTATGGGACTGCAAATGTCACCGAAAGAAAGACCATTGCCATGTTACAGATCCTGACAGAGCCGAAATAATACCGGATGACTGCCGCCGTGCACATCGGGTTGCACTCCGTCACGCCCCGATTATACTGTACATCACAAAGCACGGTCATGAGAGGATCCGACTGTCTTGCAAAGTACCGAGTCAAGGAGAAAGAGCTCGAAACTGCGAGAGCCGACACGTGTTCGGTCCTAGCTCGATTGCGAAGGCATCATGCACTCATCGAACAGACCGGGCGCCGTGCAGGGGGCTCGTGTGATGCGTACCCGAACACAATGCGTGATCATTCTAAAGCCTTCGAAGCTGAAGTTCTCGGGACGAAACTCCCAAAATCGTGACACAAGGGCGTCTGCGTTGATCTTGTAGCTGTCAGACACTACGGAATGTGAGTTCTCGCGACCTACGCTGGCAATGTTACACGATGCTAAATGAGCATAACAGTCTGCAGTCATACACGCCAGCCGAAACACATCTATGAGGTCCAAGATCAGACCAGCAGGACCCTCACCCGCTCGACCAGCCAAGTCCAAGTATTCGGTTATCGATCTGGTCTGGTCAAACCCGACAACGTGTCCACATCTGGCTTCGTCTTTGCAATCAACGAGCGACTTTGATACCGACTACCGCCGCCCGATCAATGTGGAAATAACGCCCCTTTGGATGCATTTTGACAATACGAAGGACGAGGTCGCCGCAGCTGTGCCCGAGCCAACCACATACTGGGCAGTTGCAAATGGACAGCAGACATGCATCTTCGACAATGTCCGAGATGTACTGCCGTTCTATGTTGTCCACCCTCGCCCACTAGTGCAACGCTTCAAGGACAGAGATAAGGCGGAAGCGTGGCTGCAGACCGCTAGCCAAGTCACGAAGGAGCCTGGAGCCCGCTTTGAGAGCGAGGGTATACCGCAAGGAAGTCCTCTATCTGGGGCGGTGTATGCAGCATTGTTGTGGGACTAGATATCATGCTACATGTAAAATCACAATTTGATGTGTTTATTCAAGGACATGCGTACGTGAACCGTGAAACATGGTATGAATCGATAATAGGGGGTCTTCGTGACGCATGGCGGGAGAGGCCACGGCTTCTCGTCACCCATTGCCGCGCTCTGAACTCATCTCATTCACGGATCAAGATTGTTGAGCTTCGCCTCACTCGCATCATTCATGGCTGACCCCTTACCACATCTCCGTAGCTTGTCCGCTTTAATCTGCTCACCGATGCGACATGAAGCTCAAAGGCTATGCCGCGGAACCGAGGTATTCGTTTGGTTCAAGCGGCGCTCAAGCGAAAGACTGCTGGACAAAATGACTCGGTCTTGCGGTACTGTGTGTTGCAAGACGCACCTTATCCAGACCTTACGTAGCCCGTGATGCTCGTGTATGCTCATCTCGTGCATTCAAGACAATATGCTTACGTGTCATCAGCACACCTCCCTCAAAGCCGTCTGTCAGCATGGCCTCACAAGCCTGCGATGTCAGTCGGTCCACGACCAGATGCACGCTTGGACAGGGTGCCTTTGATGCCCAACTAGCGCCGACGGCATAGTCGTGGGCCCCACCAAGTTGAAACGCATGGCGAACAAGGTTGTCAAACTTTTGCATGCCTCCGAGTAGCGTCTAATCGATTGAAGGTTCGGGAAAGCAAAGTCGTTTGCCTCCGATCGGTCTTTCTACGGAGGATTTCGGGGGTTCCATGCGAAGCTATATCCGACCTTGCGAAACGCGCTTTTGACATGTCCCCACCCATCAGCTGTGACCAGTCGATCGCACTAATTATGATCGACCTGGATGCTGGGAGTTCTGGTGATAAATGCAATACGGTGGGTCGTAATATTGCTAGGCTTCGTAGAACAGGCGGCGAATCTACGGACGGCCCTGGCTCTGGTCACGCACAGGAGGTGAATCCGCAACGAGGTGCTTCAAGAAATGCATTACCACCCGAGACAATCCCTGTCGTCGCCTTGCAATCGGCGCTTTCGGGCAGTGCCAAACACTGGCCTGGTCACGTCTTGACTGTTCGAGCAGACCGTCTACCACTAGGCTAAGCCCCAGGATTACCGTATTCGAACGGCATCTTCTCGTTGCATGATCACTGGTCAAACTGACTTGGTTTGGTATAATCTCGCGGCATCCCCGGCGAGATACACCCAAGAACATGTGAATAACAGTTGCGGAGCGGTAACACGTGCCGAGTCTAAAAAATGTGTCCATCAAGCCTCGCAAGATTTGCGATACAATGGGGGTTAATGGTAGATGTAGACACGTCCAAGAAATTTTGTTTGAAAGCCCGTTGTAGAAGAAGAAATAGAAGACCGCACAGCGTACTTACGACGAGCCCGACTTCTGGTAAGTCTGAGTGAGTATAGTGGGGTAAGACGTGAGGCGTCGGTCAGTTAAATCATGACATGGATTCGTGGGCAACCCTGTGCCGGTCACATGTGATTCTGGGCTCTTGACACGAGAGTCTGCCAGAAAAGTGGTCCATCGACGCTTGGATCAAATCCAACAGCGCTCTGCCTCAAACGCAATCTTGCCCAAGTCTTTCATCGCGCGCGCGCAACGCATACTTTGTTACATCTCGACACTACACAATTGTCTCAATTCGCGACCCCCATACGTACAATGGCTCCTTCAACTACTCGCAACAACTCCACTCGTAAAGCAAAGCCTAATTCCAGGCAGACCAAAACGATGGAACCCACGCCACCGTCTACTCAGCGGAAAGGGACACGTCAAGCCTCCCAAGAAGATGACGACGCGGTTGATGCTGGGCTTTCCCCGCCTCCACCAACTGAGCCCGAATACAAAATTCGCACACGGGATGAACTGATGAAGCTCTTCAAGTACTTTAGACCACGCTACAGGGATGGTGATTGGTTTTGTAAGAGATCCAGATTCGATGCTATCCATAACCAAGCTAACGCACTCGAAGGTCAATGCCGAGATCAGCAAGACGTGATGGGCGGCGTGATACCAACCTCTAACGAAGATGGTGAAATGTGTAAGACATCACGCTCTTGTAGCCAGATGAAGTTACGCTGACTCGACAACAGACTTCGCTTGTGCCCGAGGTTTCAGACACAAGCGCTGCAACTTTGTCCTCTGGCAGGAGGAAGCGGATATCCTGAAGGAAGAGTTCGACAAAGGGAGTCCACGCAGTCCTACACGAGGCGAGAAGAATGCCTCAACCGCCAAGCCCTTCACCGCGGACAAACCCAGAGGATCGGGTGGTCGGAACGTCGCATCGGGTGGCAGTCAGAGTACCGCGAGTGGTAGTCTGAACGCAACGGGTGCCAGACTAGCGACGCCCAGTGGCACTCAAGACACCGAGGATCTTCTGCCTATTGACTGCGACTTGGATGACGAAATCGACTTCCCGAGATCTCCGTCCAAACCTCGGAGGCCCTCCACCCGGAAGAGTGCTACGAGTATCGATCAGCCCACCATGGACTCCAAGGAAAGCGGATCCGACAGTGAATCGATCAAAGTCATCACAACGAGGACTCGCAAGTCGGTTGGACCACCCGCTGGACAGAGTGCTAGAACGAACGCGAACGTTCAGAAGCGCGCTGGCACGAAGCGGAAGAGGTCAGACGAAAGCGACTCTGACGATGCTGAGGAGATGCTCGCGGCTAAGTCGAGACCGAGTGAGAACAGGTTTCACGTCGTTACGGTGGGCCTTCAATTAGGCATCTTTGGTCCCACGCATTATAACAACGTTGAACACGTCGTCGAGGGCGTTTCTGGCAAGAAACACTGGATGGAAAAAACTCTGGACGCTGCTATAGAACGCTGGAGGACAGCGACCGATAACGAAGTGCCCGTTCCCGAAGTAAAGCCTCGCCCGACTATTACCGCTGCACGAGTCAGAAGGAAACCCAAATTGCCCACACTGTACTGGTACAAGTTGGTACCACACAAAGAGCCAGCGAGGGACGATGCACACAACGACAACTCGTCCGATGGCGACGCACCGAAGCCACGCTCATCCGAGGAGCTGTGGCAGGCTTTGAGAAGATTGCAAGTCGACTCAGCGCTATCCGGCAGATCTGCCGTAACGGAGAGCATGATGACGAACCTCAAAAGCATTATCAGGAGATGTGGTGGGAAGCTCACCACGGAGATGGAGGAAGAGCTGAAAGACGTGGTGGAGGATGTACAGTTAGAAGTTGCAGAGTGGAAGAGAAAGTATGATACCGAAAAGGTGGAACGGATGCAAGAGAAGGAGCGTGTGAACACGGTGTTATTCGATTGGGTAGATCAGCATATGTTGGAGTAGTTACTTTCCTCTCAGACGTCGACTTTCTCTTTGCTGTACGTTTATCTCGTTGTTGATGGCTGGCTGGCGGCTTGGATGGTCGATATTCGTACGTAGACTGAATTTCATCTCATCTCACTCGCTACTCATCTACTTCCCACCCACTGAGATTGCTGGCAAGTTTCGCAATTTGTTAACACACATCAGTGGTGAAGACTCGTGGAAACTAATCTTATTCTGCACGGGAAGGCACAGATATATGCGGCGTATGTCGTTGTGTTGGGGATGAACGCTCGCGTTTAGGGAGGACAGCTATGCTTTCGCCAGATCGCGCAGAAGTCGCGCCGAAGCACACCGCGATGGGGCAAAGTGAAGATGAGCAGCTGCCTGAGCCCAAGACGCTGTATCTTCTGCAGTGTGTACATCTCGCAATAACCATAGCTTGTGCATATGCTTACGGGCGCATTATCTCCTGTGCAGCTGCCGGAATGTTCGGAGGTGGCGCCTAAACTGTGCGCTGCTGGCTGTCTTGGTACCGTACCGAGGTAGCCGGGTGGGCTGTAAGCGAGACGCTACTGTGGCCCGACCTCGGGACTAGCGGTTTGCATACCGAGGTCTCCCCCACGCATGCGCAGTGCTCATCCACCCGATCGAAGGGAAAGATACGACACTCTTAGCACACACATCGAAGCGCTCTACCGCATTCTTCCCTTTCACGAAAGGTATCGCATATTGTCCTGGCCATATTGCTCCCTCGATCGTAGCAGGGACGATAGTTAGGTAGACATGAGTGGAGACACTTGAACCTCTGTTGCTGGTATCACGTCGCATGTGTATAGTTAGGCACAACCAAGACCTTGGCTCATGTCAAAAGAGCTCGCACTCGAGTCTTGATTCGTCGGCGCAAGATTTACAACGATACCAACCGCAGCTCGTTGTATATACAAGAACCTTTCCTATTCGTATTTCGTATTCCGAGCCGAGTGCCGGCCAGCAGCGGACCCAGTTTCACTGTTGAAACAGTTCATAAGGTGCTGCTGCGGGCGTAAAGATCCCGCATGCGAGGCCACACCATCTCTTCGGCTCTGAGCTGAACGATAGTATCTCCAGACCCATCAATACAGCCTGCACGAGTATGCTTATCTGAGTGGCTCGATCACAAGAGCGGGTCCGACTGAAATCACGTGCTCGACGCTTTGTTGGGTGCGAAAACATTGTTTTTTTTTGTGTTCTAGATACATGTGACCAACTCCAAACCACGCCGAAAAAAAGAATCTTGAAGAAAGAGACGAAGGTAATAAGGCAAAGAACTACTAGTACGACATCTTGACAGGTCGATGCATCGACAATAAAGTACCTCGCGCAACGCTGATATAGTGTCCCCCAGACAGGTCACCAAGGTGTGCGAAAGTCAAGATACACCCAATTTGGTCCGGATGGTCCTGTGAGACGATGCATCTGTGACGAGTCGGGTCTTTCGGGGTCCCCCCGCGGTCGTACCATCTGATGGAGCTTTCCGTTTACCCTTCTTCATATTCTCCAATCGCATGCTCTCCATGACCTCAAGCCAGTAAAGCTCCCCCCTGTCGATACGCTCTTGTTCCGCTTCTATCCGCGCTAACTCTTTTGCAGTATCCGGATGCTTGCAATAAGCGAGGTTGGTAGCGTCGTGATGAATGTCGAGTTGATCGGTCGGTCCGGCCTTTTTGTTCCAGTTGCTGCAGTTCGCGCACCGTTTGCTCTCTTCGTCATAATAACTGACATAACATTGTTTGATGTCATGTTCGCCGTCGCACCGCGAACAAGCTTTTGGTCGCTTGCATCCTCGAGACTCGTGTCCGAAGCCTTGACAATTGTAGCACTGTCTTTTCAGGCATTCTTCCGTGACCGCCTTGACTAGTCGCGCTACTCAGACGTTAGTAGTTGGCTTTGTGTTGTGCATGCCAGTTTATAACTTACCATTGCCACCCAGTATAAGACAGCGTTTGAAGCCATCAGTGGCATCGTAGAATCTGAAAATCAGATTGAGATCGGACGTCTCGATGCGGATACGGCCCGTACCAAAGGCGTGGTACTTGTATATCTGCCCCGGCTTGACACCAAAGTGTTCTTCAAGCTCTTTTCGAGCTGTAGCCTTTGTTTCTTCGGAGTTGCCCTCCTCCGGTCGATCGTACTCATCGATCGAGAGCATGTACCTCGGCTGGCTAAGTCCCTCGACCTTGGTAGTCGACTTTGTGAGTTGAAGATTAGATGGAATACTTTCGTGCATGGCATCCGCCAAAACGTGCGATTCTCTCATGGTCTCGGTAAGGAAATGAATGACGCAGCTCTTCACGATGACCGCTACGACCGTGTTGTAGGGCTTTACATAAGCCTGCATCCTTTCAACCAGCCAATGGCCATAGTTGTCTCTGCTCATGAGCCGTTCGTAATCGGTTCGAGACACCCGGACCTTCACCCCAAAGTAAGGAGGGTGCGAAATGGAGGAAACAGAACGAGACGCCATTGTGACGGAGGTTTGAGAAGTAGCAAGAGAGACGAGTACAACGCTGGATTATGTTTTGACAATATTCGAGTTCTTCGATGCCGTGGTCTATATCGTTATATCATTGGTGATCTATACGGGTCTACTACGTTACTGTAGGCCATAGCACGAAGGTCGGACCCTGGTTCCGTATCGCAGGGCATGCTGATCCTTCCGGTCGCATGAAGTACCGTCCCGTCACTACGGTGGAGTGCACACGCAAGCAGATGCAGCCCCTGTGGACAAGTGGCCCCGGGTGTCTGAGTCGCATCGGACGTACTTGCCAACAGGTCGGACCGAGAAGCCTGAAAATATGCTGATACACGGATATTTCCAGTGGGTCTGGTCAGGCAGACGATGGGCCAAACGCGGTGGCCGAGGTGAAGGATAATCAGGTGGGGAGCATCGGAGCCGAATCGTTGTTTCGCCGGCGCTGCGACACCAGGGCACTTTGCCTGCCAAGGCGCTAAGAGCGCCACTTCGTAGTACGTAGGTATCGCGCGTTCTGGTGCCAGGCCAGGTCTTGGTATCATGTTAGGACGGGAAGGCCAGAAGCACGGATGACATGGGCATGGGCTTCAACGTCATCTGATCATTAAGGATGAGGGGGCTTCGCAATGGGATCGCGCACAAGGACAGCTGGCGCTCGGATGCCCAATCCTCCGCTCTCCCCTCGCAGCAGGCGCACGCCGCCAGGTATGCGCGTTGGTTGTGCTACACGTAGCATATAAGGCCTTTGTCTTGATAGTCCTGAGATCCTCAGCCCAGACAGTCTACCTTATTCAATCATCTCATCTTTCTTCCCGAGCTCGACTCGCGCTCCTCGTCTTTGCCTTCGATTTGCACTCTTCTCCTTCGCCTTCGGCTTGCGCTCTTTTCCTTCATCTTCGACTTCCGCTCCCCATCATCCTCGGCTATGGCGCCAAGATGTCCTTGGCTACGGTGCTGTCTGCGCGAAAGCACACGTTCAAGTTCTTGCAGGCGAACGTGAACGGCAAGCGCGCCGCTCAACGCGAGCTACTAGAACGCGGTGCCAGGTGCGAGAAATGGGATCTGATCCTGATCCAGGAGGCATCCCGGCGCACGAGAGAGCTGGACGAGTCTTCGTACGGCTACTATCTAGTCGATTGCGCTCCATTGCACGAGGATACCGGCAGGCACATCTCAACTTGTGTGTATGCCAATATAGACAGGTAAGGTCTGAATGTGCGAACTGCAGCTGAGACGCATACTGACTCCGTGTTTCCACCTCTACAGCCCCTTGGGCATTCCTCAGTATGTCTCAGTAGACGACAAGCACTGTTCTTGCTCCGGGAGCACTCGCGAGCTGCATCGAGAGCACATCTGCACTGTCGCCTACACCTTGCCCGAGGACGACACGCTCTACGTGACCAACGTCTACAACCGCATCAGCGACCGGATACCCGAAGGCTGCCTCTCAGCCCACCTCAACTACGACGGATACCTGTTCGTTGCCGGCGACTTCAACATGCACGACCCTGATTGGGAGAGGGACCTTGACAAGCCTACATCCAAGACAACGCCCCTCACAAGACGCTTCAAGGCTCGGTACCATGAGCGTGGCCTACAACTACTCACCGATACGAACGGGGAGCCCACGTACATAAAGGCCGACAGGTTCTCTGTCCTCGATCTGACCTGGGCTTCACTTGCCTTGCAATGCTCACAGGCGAAGCTGAGGAGTGACTTGACCCTGCCTGGCGTAGACCATGTGGCCATCGAGACAACCGGACAGGTATCTGCCGACGATTGCCCCGTCTTAATATGGCTGTGGAAGCATGCCAACATCAAGGCAATGGAGGGTCGCCTCGAAGCCTATATCAAGCGCGTTCAAGCGCTGCCCTTAGACACCCGTTCCCAGGTATCCGCCCGAGCACGTGGATTGGTCCAGACCATGCAGGCAATCCAGGATGCCTACGTACCACGCGTAGTTCGCTCGCGTCGTCAACTCTACGATCTTCGAACGCCGGAGATAGAAAAGCTCTCTGCTCAGGCTGAGGCCGCCCGTATCGATTGCGAAAACTATCATCGCCACGCGCGGAGAATGCAACAGTGCTGGGGAGCCCACCCGCGGTTGTCCAAAGCTGCCATCTGGGAACCGTATGACTCCCGCTGGCGGAAGTGGGATAACTTGCACAAGCAATTGACGAAGCTACTAGACATAGAGTTCAAAAGGCGATATCGCTTATCAATGACCAATCTTGATAAGTGGATGAGCCATAGCTATTCCAAGCGCAAGAGGCGTGCACGAGCACGAGCACCCGTGACTGTGCCCAATCTCGTGGTCAAGGACGGGCATGGTAACAACGTCGGCTACGCTACTACTCCCCACGAGAAGGCTCTGACCCTCCATGGTGGCTGGTATGGGGAGCGCCGACCTTGCGACGAAGTTGATGAACCGAGCTGTTGCGTGCCGGAGACGCCCGAGTGCGAGCCACCATCTTCGCGATCGCAGATCGTCACCAAGGCTCGAATGAGACGCATTTTCCGTCGGCTGAAGTTGGGAAAGGCGGCTGGTGTCGATGAGATTGGCCCACGATTCCTCATCGAGTTCAAGGAGCAGCTCATACCGTATGTCGCACGCCTTTGGAGTGCTTGTTGCCGACTGGCTCATGTCCCCAACGTGTTCGACACAGGCAGGACGATCCCTGTGCCGAAGCCTCTCGGTCCGGGCGCTTTGTACAACCTTCCAAACCAGCTGCGACCAATCTGCCTTTCGTCAACTCTTGGGAAGACTCTCGAGTCCTATCTTGCGGACGAGCTAGCCAAGATAGCCCGCGAACGCAACTTGCTGCCGGCTACACAGATGGCTGCTAGAGGCCGTTCTACAACTATGGCGCTGCTCTACATCCTGCGTCTCATCGAGGCCGCAAGAGAGACAGGCGTGGCCATCTCCATCATGTGTCTTGATCAGAAAGGCGCTTTCAATCATGTCACCTTCCGAGAGTTGGAGCGTGTGTTTCGCGCCAAGGGTATTCCGGAGTGGATGATTGCCATGGTATCGTCTTACATGTGTGGCCGTAAGACGACCATTCGCATTTCCGGTTTTGAGTCAGAACCTCTTGGATGTGGCGGTGTTCCCCAAGGCAGCCCTCTTTCCTCCATCCTCTTCGCCTTCTTCACTTCTGGCCTCCTCGAAGTGCAAGAATTCGACACTGAGAAAGGGCGCGTCTTCAAGCTTGCCTACTCTGATGACACCTATGTCATCGTCATTGGTAAATCTTTGCGCGAGAATAAACTAGTACTTGCCCATCAGTACAGACTTTGCGTTCGGTGGGCAAACTCTTCAGGCGCTTCCTTCGGCGCCGCCAAGACTAAGGTGATCCATTTTGCTTCCCCACAGCAGAACGACGACGGTCCGATGTCAAAGTACATTCCAGGTTTCAACGATGAGTTGGAATACGACTGTACAACTACCGGGAAAGATCACCATATGACCATACTGGGTGTACGCTTTGCAGTCGATACCCACGGTAATCTTGACTGGGCAGCGCACTGGCGTTACCTCGATGAAGTATTCCACGAGCGGTTTGCCGGCTTTCAGCGGATCGTCCATCCAACATACGGCTTGAGTATGCTGGAAGCCGTGGACGTCTTCAAAGCTGGTGTGGTGTCTGCGATCTTGACCAACAATGTCATATGGTTGGAACTTTGCGAAGGTCTCTGGTTTCTTCGAGATCCTTCTCATCCTTTCAGAGCCGATGACGATCCGAGCGAGAGCTATTCACGATCGGATATCAAGTCTTCCAAGCTGTTGTTTGCACAGCATTCTGTCCGAGCCGCGAGGTGGTCACAGATCCGGAAATGGGGCGAGAAGTGCCATCGCCTGATCACAAGCGCCATGCAGGGCACACCACACTGGTACTGTCGAGCCGAGCTCAACCTCGAACCGCTGGAAGTGATCGCCTACCGTTCTGCCGTGGCTACCCTTGCCAACATCATGGGCACTCCAGAATGGGACACAATTTGTTCGGCCAAGGAGCGGGTCAGGGACTATGCACGCAGCGTCTTCAGCGAACGCGTCCCAGAGCTCCGTGGAGGTCGCGGTCGCAGAGTCGTGTGGCCATCGACCATGCTAGAAGAGCAAGCCGCAGAGTGGAGGGAGAAGGCTGTTCGCGACATCGAGCGCCGAGACCAACTACCCCGTCGGAAGAAGCGTAATCGAGCGGAGTTCGAGGATGACTCTTCCGATGTTGACGCCGACGAACCCATCTCTGATCGCCTTGCGGATCTGCTACGCGAACAAATGGGCGACTCGATCAATGCCGATGACGATGACGATGCCGACGCGGGCCATGACGGCCAACCGAAGGTCGACTTCCATCAGAGGGTGAAGCTTAGACTGAAGACCCTCCTTAAGGACTGGGCCTTCGATACAGTCAAGAAGCACCACGAGCATTGGCGCAAGGCGAAGTTCGACCGCTTCGTCGCAGCCCATCCCGACAGACCGATGCCTCCAGCTTTGAGGACGAAGTGGGACCGGCGGAACCCGAAGCGATATCGTAACCTGGGCAGACCTCTCGACTACGTTCTCTTCGCTCTGCGCACCGAGTACATCGGTCTTCTCCAGCACCGACGCGAGTTGTGCCGATCCAAGATGGACGACTCGTATTGCCGCTTGTGCAAAGACCGCTTCAAGGGCAGACTCGAGACGGTGTATCATCTCCTGCATTGCTGTCCTGCGCTCAAGCCACAGCGGGACAAGCTGTACGCCGAGGTCTACGCTACCGTTCGCGAGATCAGGAACCCACACGACATGAGGCGTCTCATCCTTGACAAAGCGCCCAAGCTTGTCGCTCAGTATGCTCTCAGGTATTTCCCTATCGACCAGCTGGAGTGGACGCGGACACACATGTTGGACCTGCTCTCGGAGGCAGACGGGGGCGGCGATGGCGATTGAGTGAGTTTATGGTGTTGATGGTGATGGCTGTGATCGATGGACGATGTACGTGTAGGTGTTGAGGAGGGTGTCGCAATCGCGCGGATGAATGCTTTCTTTCTGTTGCAAGTAGATACGGCGGGGCCCGGGCATGGTTGGGTGGTCGGAGCTGAGGCGTCGATATGATGATGGTTTGCGGCGAGGCCTTGTAGCATAGTTGTACTTCCGTAGCGAATCCATCCTTTACCTGCCTAATACACGTCACACACGCTCTAAACGCTTCATCCACGATACAAATGTTCATACGTTCTATCGTCTATCGTCCATCCGATGTTGCATCCTCGGTGCCGTCCTTCAAGGTGCGTTCGCCAATCCATACCTACCCACTGTGATACACCAGCCTTCCCAACTCACCTCGAGGTGCGAACCTTCGCCTTCATTCAGTAGGGGGTTCAGATCTTGTTTCCGTCGTTTGTACTGCTAGAGTCGTCCTTGCCGACTTGACTACTCGATTACACGCCAACTACTTTGGAGATGAGTTGTACTAACAGCGCAAAGCAGCCTTATGCATCCGTCCGCATCAGCACCTGCACGTTGTACGGAGCGAGCATGTAGTTCATCCTCGTCCAGTAGGTGCACTCTTTTCTGTGAACGTCGTGGCTAAGGCTAACATACTTGCTACAGTCGTTCAACGTCGCCAGAGAAAGACACCTGATGCATGAAAGCCGACTCCTCTGGAGTAGGCTGGTATGTAGAGAGTGTCATCCTTGTCAGCAGCCTATGTACTATCACCTGCTCGTTTCGGATGAAGGCTTGGGCTGCTGGTGTGAGTCCTAAGGTATGGGAGCCTTATCATTTGTAGTAACGGAACTCTTTGCTAATTCTCGTGAAGCAGACGTCAGCAGGACTCGCACAAGATGTAGCGAGTACTCACCTTGTTGGGTATCCACATGGTGGGCATACATCTGTAAGTTACAACCAATGGACGCATTCTGCATTGACGTACTAATCCCGTCTAGTCAAGTTGCGCAGAAGCTCCGCATATGGCCCCTGGCAGGGGAGATACCAGAGAGCCTGCAAGATAGCTGATCGCTCGAGAGCGGCATTTCCGGCCAGAGGGGCGGTGGCGACGGTAAGTGTAGCGAAGTCGTAGACCAGATTCAGGACTAACCAATTTAAAGATGTTGAAGAAGATGGCGAAGGCAATTATGGCTGCAGTCGGGTTGTTCGGGTTCTGAATGAGGAGGGCGACGGACTGGGGAGTGAGGTGCACCAGTAAGCCTTCCTTGCTATGCAAAGCTATGCGACGTTGCTAATGTCTAGTTGTCTTGTGTGTTGTGTATGAGAGAGGAAGCAGAGTTGCGAAGACGAAGCTTCTATACTCTCCTTTGACTCACAGTAAGTTTCCATCTTCTTGTTCGTCAACCTTCATGCATTGCTTTCCGTCGTGCCCAGATTCGCACGCAGCTGACAAGGTGGCGAAGCAGTGTGTGCGAAAATCTCGAACTCTGGTCCCATCCCATCCCATCCCATGGTACCGCGATGACCCATCAACGAGTAAGTATGGTTGGACTGCGCCCAAAGATGGGAGAGGAAGCTGACAGCCGCGCGCAGCGAGCCACTCACGACTCCCGCAACACACACGAGATACACGATGACTGAATCCGCCCATTAAATATGGAAGGGATGCGAAAGAGGTCGAAGCTAAGTTCTACTCAACCGTGTTGGGTAGGCGCCTTGCTGCTAACGTGCGCAGGGCGGTCCTCAAGTTGCAGCCTGTCCGTCGGCGAGGGCTACGAACCTGTTCCACTCTTTTGAGAGCATGAGCAGAGCCAATGCAACACACGATTATTCCCATAACAAACAGTCGTATGCGAAAGTCGCAGCGCAGCGCTTGCGCAATGCTCTCATCGGCGCGGCGGTCGACGCACGCGGGCTACCGGAGCCTTGAGATCGATCGATGCGGGGTGCCAAAGGGGACTGGGTGTCATCTGGGCGCCGGCGCGGGACGGCTGGTGAGGGTGAGGGTGAAGGTCTATCGCGAGGAGACCTCGGGATCGTGAGGTAAGTCAGCTGATGTTGAGCGGCGTCTGGGCTCGGGTGTGGAGCAGTCGGTGGCAGTGGAGAGTCAAGGATGCGGTGGGGGATGGCGGAAGAATCAGGCTGACAGTGAGAGATCTTTCAGTCCGGACGGCGGGTGCTAGCCAAGCGGGCGACGATGGTGAGCGACGGTGGTGAGCGACGGTGGTGGGCGATGATGAGGTGGTGTCGCGCGTGAGAGCGCGCGTCATCGGAGATAAGGGTGGCGGAGTTAGCGCAGCCGCACTGCGGCAATAAAGAAAGAGCTCCCTCTGCCAAACGTTATGCTTTGTTGCACGTCGTGATATGGTTTGCATAAGATGAACGCATAAGACTGTAAAGATCATGCAGTGGATGGTTCGTTGAGTAGCGCTGGTGAGTCACCGTCAGAGTCACCGCGAGGAGCACGGGCGGCTCTCGCTTAGCCAATCCGCGGTAGTCTGTTGCTTGCGCGAACCATGGTCCTTCATCGCAGTCACGCACCGCCTTCTTTTAACGGAGATTGCTCTACAGTCACCATATATATACACCCGATATCTCTTTCCTGTCTTTCATATTGTTTCCCCTTATGGCGTCTAAGAAATTCGCCCACTGGAACGGGTTTCCGTTTATGACTGCGCCACGGACAAACTATTACTCCGCACAACTACAATCACCTCTCTTTCGCCTGCCTCGAGAAGTTCGAGATGCTATCTACGCTTACTATTCTCTCGGCCAAGACGGCTATCATTACGATAGCGAGACTGGCAAGATGCTCTACACGGTCGAGCCAAGACAAACGGTCCATCTGGGCCTGATGATCACTTGCCGAATTGCACACGAAGAGCTTAAGCACATTGTCTTCCGAAAACTCCAATTCAAGACACATCACTCATATGATGAAGACCTTTCATATATGGGCGTACGCTCACGTGCAGGTCGTTTCAAGTGTAGTAAGTTGCCCACTAGCATCTAACCGTACCCTATCGTCACTAACGCTTTATACCTGTAGTGTTGAGACTCGTTGAACGACAGAAGCGACGAATGTTAATCAAGGTGTTTGAGCTGCTACAGCCTGACGACTTACACGAACTGTATACTCGCTTCCCTACGGTCAAGAGATGGTTCGATATACCGTTGCGGCAATCAGTGGTTGAACAAGTCGACAAACTGGAAGCGACCGAGGGCTTCTCTGGGGACGAGGAGGATCATGAACTCTCTGAAAGCGCATTCGCACACGCACTGCAGTATGCTTTGGTATGCGCAAAGGATCGCAATCGCGCAGACTTTGTTAGACTTACCCGTGGTCTATTTGGCGTGGGACAATGCCCTATCGACTGGGCAGCAAACTATACACAAAGCAACATCTTCGTAGAAGGTGCGCTGTATGATGTGTATTCATGGAACCCCGAGCCTTGGTCCCTTCCAGACGATGCTGAATTGGCTAAGCTGGAGGCTCTTCTCTGCGTCCCGGGCGACACGGACACTCAGCTTCCAATCAACGACGAAGGCACCTTCTACTTTCCGGATCTGAATACGCACATAAAAGCAGCTAAGGAGCGATGGTTCTTTTCTGCCGCATCTATTGCGATAGATTTCTGTGAGTCGCAAATGACGCGGCTTGAACGCATACTGCGAACGCTCGCTGACTTTTACAGTGAGACGAATGTCACCAGAGAGAAGGCACAACATGCGCACGATAGTGCTCAACGAAGACTTCAAAGCAGTGTCTCGATCTGAATGCCATGCTGAGGGCTTGATACCATTCTGTCGCGAGAATCCAGAACTCCGTGTAGAAAGGCGCATCAGCCTGGTTGCCAATGTCTTTCCAGAAGAATTCCAATGCCCCGTTGCCCGCGAGCAAATGTTTCAGTGGCTATTCGTTGAGGATTGCTTCAGACTACTTATACCTTGGATCGAGGAAGCCTTGAGTCTGCCTTCCCGCGGGATGCCCCCTCGCTCTTTTACCCTGGTCATTGACGGATCGACACAAGAAACATCGGAGATGTGGAGACTGTTGCTATATGCTGCAGCCACACAGGAGGCGCGTCTTGAGCAGTGCAGGCTCAACGGAACCGACCTTCATCCCCGGCCTCTCCTCCGGTATTATGAGGACTTCTGGTCTCTTCCTAGCAATTTCGCGGAAATGATTCGAGACATCGTGGCAGGCACATCGGTCGTCAAATACGAAGGAGAGATGCATGAGCCGTGGGATCAGGATGTGTTCTCTTTCGAACGCAGGGACTGGACTGAAGAGCAATGGTATAACGACTGGGAAATTAATGTCCTCCGCCAGCGGATACCGTCAAAGTTCTACGTGGATGGAGCGCTTCGATACCACATCACACCGTCTCCTATCAGAACAACGCGACAGATCGTTAGACATGGAGCGAGTCGCTCAAATGAAACTTAGTCGAGTATGTGAGTGGTACGTTAGCCCCATGACAACTCATGTCTGGCGGCTGTATGTTACGCTCTCCGTATGCCTCGAAAGATATCTGCTACATCCGTCCTGCCATCTAATGTAATTTCACCCATGTATTCATCGACACTTTGATACATAGTCAGATGCGTGTCATATAGAAAGCCAATTAGGAGAAGATCATCTTACCATACCACTTCCGCATCCACTCGCCATTATAACCCTTGGTCCCATCCCCCTCAACCCTCCCGTCTGCGACCCCCAAGGAAGCTTCAATTTAGTCCCGCATGATACATGGATGTTCATTTGAGTCGACAACTATTGAAGTTTTAGCCAGGCGAACACCATCCGTTCTTCCAGGCTTACTTCCGCCCCTACCTGCCATCATACCCCTTAACCCCCTTGACCCCACTCCCCTCCACCTTCCCACTCGCAACCCCCAAACTCCGCTCAAACGCCCCCGTAATCCCCATCTGATCCGTCAACACACTTACCATATCAAACCCCCTCTCCACATACCCCCTCGCATCCTCGCCCGAGTTGCAATACATAGCCACCTTCTTCCCCTCCGCATGCGCCGCCTCCTTGATCGTCTCAATCGCCTCCTCCAGCTCCTTATCCATCTGTGGAGTCAAAATAGGATGACCGATATTGTTGCCGAGATCAAAGGGCCCGATCAGCAAACAATCGACACCGGGCAAGGCGGCGATTTCACGGCAGCACGCTAGCGCCGACGCTGTTTCTATCTGCACGATGGTAAGGAGCGAAGTGTTTGCGTGGCGCAGGTAGTACGTCAGTGGTTCATTTGAGAAACACTGTGTTGGTAGCGGTGAGCCGAAGCCGCGCGTTCCTTCTGGCGGAAATTTGGCGGAGGAAACGAGCTTTTTGGCGTCGTCGACGGTGTAGATGAGCGGGACTATGACGCCGTGGGCGCCGCTGTCGAGGGCGCCTGGGGTGGTGTTAGATTTCCACTTGGAGACCTTGGAATGGGAGGCGTAGGTGGCAAAGGGTAACTTACGCTTTACCATCCAGGGTTCGTTCGCGGCGATGCGGACGAGAGGGCTTACGCCCGCGTGGGCGATGGCGGTTACGGCTTCGTGCATTTGGCTGTCGTTGATGTTGCCGTGCTCCGTGTCGACGCATATCCAATCAACGCCTGAACGGGCAATTGCCCGCGCGTGATTCGTGCCTGGAAGCATCTGTCACACCATCATCAGCCTTTACATCAAGTCAACTTCGCGTTGTGTGTTGGTTTACCTGCCATCCTCCGAAAGTCGGCCCTCCTTTCTGGAAGGCCTTGTATACCCGGCTTGCTTCTTGCAGGGTGTTCATGTTGCGGGGATAAGATGCGAATTGTCTGTTTCCTGAGAAGAAAGAAACACGACTTGTGAAGACTGCGTGGGGTTTTGCTCGGTGGATATTTAATGTTGTGGCTCTTCGTAGGGCGTGCGGTATCGTCATGGCTTTTGTAGGTACGGGAGGGGTACTGCCGCGTGGAGAGGTTTACCCCACACTGGGACGCGCTAGGTGATGCGGGTTGATGGGGAACGGCAATGCAACTTCGCTGCGTTTACACGTCACGATCTTGAGGATGATGTCTGTTAGAGGGATATGGACGATGCATTGCAGCATAAATCTGGGCTTTTAAGCGTGTTGGCGTCGACATCTTTCCTGGTGAGACGAGTCAAGGGCGTTCGAGTTGCGGCAGATGCGACGCCCTGCCAGATTTTGTGGAGCCATCCATGGATCCATCTCGTGTCATCAAGATCGACGCGACATGGCCATCGCATCACTTATCCTCATCACGCACCGCGATGGCATTGCCAAAACTTACCAACAGACACCAGAAATCGTCTCGTAAACTGTGACGAGAAACGACCTCATTGTCTCAGGTAAGCAGGCAAGCTTCCTCATACCTAAACTCAAAGAAGACCCTGCTTGCCCGAATATATGCAAAAGCACTGGCCGCAAATGCGATTCTAGTGCAGATAACAAACTAACGGTTAGTCTGGACAATTTCGCGCTGCGATGAGCTTGCTTCACAGAATTACCGGTGATGTCGGGGTCGGATCAGAACTTTGATTACATCTACAATTTTGTACAACTTTCGCATACAGCCAATGCTCAGAGTTTTATGAAAAGGACTGAACCACACTGCGGAGGCTAGACATCGTATGTAAAGACAAAAGGCTTTCCCCCTGCAACCATGAATGTCGCGTTGCTCGCCACAACCTCCCCATTCACCTTAAAACTACCTCCAACATATCCGTCCTGCGACGACAGAGGTAGGACAACCGTGCCCGAAGTACAATTGGGGCTTATCACTTCCAGCCTAGTAATAACACGCCCCGTAGCATTCCAAGCAACGGAGATCTCACCCCCCGGCACAGGGACTCTGCCCCTAGCCCACTTCAAGTCCAGCGTAACAGGAGCGACTCGCCATTCGGTATACCCTGGAGCTACGGGCTTCACTCCCAAAACATGATCGCTGAGCTCCCCAGTGGGACCTGCAGCCCAACCGTGGCAAAGGCTAGTGCCCCTCCCCAGTGCAGGCGCACCGGCTGCGTCCAAGGTCTCCCAGAAGCATCCGGTGTAGTTTGCTCCCTGCGGGTCGGCCATTGGCGCCCATAAGCTTTTAAGCAGATCCATGGTCGTCTCGGTGTCGTTGGCCTCGAAGGCGGCACGAAGGTGGTAGGCGCTTGCATAGGGACTGATGTACTTTGAGAACCCAGCTGCGATCGTTCCGTTCGAGAAAGCAAGAGGGCCTTTTGGTGTGGAAAGCTGCGTGAGGGTGCGAAGAACGCGGGAGGAAGTGTGGTTGGACTTGGTCACACCAGCGAGAATGGCCAGAGCATTTGAGTCCTGTGCGAAGCTGTTGTCGATGGACTGGGAGAGGTAGTAGGCGTTGAGGTCATTCGACCAGAGGTTCTGGTCGATCGCGATGCGCAGGGCATCTAGGCGGGTGGTGTATGGCTCGGTGTCGATGCCACCGTCTGCAAGAAGCCTGATGCACTCCTGGAGTGCGTATGCGTAGACCATGTTGAACTTGGTAACAACGCCCGCCTGTGACGGGTCGTAATAGTTCCAGTCGCCGCCCAAAGCAGGGTTGGTGATGTTCAACAACCCGCTTTCGGGCAGCACTTGAGAGTGTGCCCAGTCCAACATGCGTACGGCTTTGGGTGCCCACTTCTTTGGCATATCGACATCGCCGGTGCGCATGTAGAAGTTTGCGGCTGCGGTGAGGAGGTTGAAAGAGTAGCCGATCAAGCCAGTGACGTTGGCATCGACCGGGGTGGAAAGTGGCTCTTGTTGGATCTTGGCCGTGGGTGCGAAGAATCCTGGGGTCAGTTGGAAGGAACCGAGGAGATCGAGCGTGCCTTTGATGTAACTGATGCCGTTGGTACTCGACAGCGAGGACACGAGCGCAATGTCCAGATCGCCTGCATACGCAATGCGGTCGCGTTTCGAGCCGTCAACCGTTGTATCGTGCGGGTTTGTGCCCATCAAAAAGTCCGGCAGGAAAGCCTCATCTTTTAAAGATGCCGAATAGATTGATTGACCTGTCAAAGTCGTAGCAGACAAGTTGCGGAAGATGGCAGAGTGGCCGAATGACGCGCCCAATCCAAAGGATCCGAAAAATGCAGAAGTCTGCGAAAATTGAAGAACGGGAACTTTGTTGAAAGACACCGCGATGTCAGTCGTATCCACAGTGGCTTCCACTTTGTGCCAGCTATCAAGGGTTATGTTTGCTGGCAATTCGGCGAATGCAAGTGGAGGAGAATCCTCGGTGGATCCGAAGTGTGCTGAGATCGATCCATTACCAACATTGCAGAAGATGTAGATTCCGGAGTTGAGAGTGTCAGCCAGTACAGAGAATCCAAACCCTCTGGTAATAGGCTTGACTTCGAATGCAAGCTGATAACTCATCAAGCCAGCAGCAGCGCCGCCTGACAGAACTTGAGGTGCCTGGCTCTCCACCAAGGAACCTTCGGAGGAGACCTGCCAGAATGCCGGAATAGAGTGCGCAGGAATGTCGTTTAATTGAACTGTCCGCGCCCCAACCTTCCAGATTCGATTGAGATCCTCGTCCGAGGTCTCAAAGTATCCCGGTAGTTGATCAAGGGGTGTATTTGGGATTGTAGGCCTAACACCGACGTTCCTCAATACCAGTTCGCCTGTTGTCGAGAGATTGAGCTTCTGGTATCTGAAGCCACCCTGAATGAGTCGATTGGTATGTATCATGGGCCCAGTGATATTGTACTGGTTGACTCTGTAGGTGTCCATAGCTGCGGCCAAAGCGATTGGACCATCGCTCTGCAACATGAATCAGTATGGGTTTCAAGCACTTCGCGGCGTAGGACTTACGGTGTAGAAACTGTCCAGTACCGCTCTAGTCTCGCTATACGTGATCTCTAGACCAGACGTGTCGCCGGTGGCTGAAAGGACTTCGAATATGGGATGGCCTTCGACATTGGCCCCGTAGTCAAGGATAACCACACCCGGGGCTGCAGCAGTCCCTTTGAGGGTGGTGGTATCATTTGAACCAAATATCGCCGGCAAGCTGTCGTTTGCTTGGTGCACAGGGTGCAGTGGCTGGGATCTTGGTGCTGTTGCCGCGTTTGCAGCTGTCAGGCAAGCCAGCAGGGCCAATTGTGAGAAGCCCATGATGTGATGGGAGTCCTCCAGAAGGACTGAATGGATGTAGTAAGGAAACGAATGAAGTGAAGGTAGACTAATGCGACGAAAAGTAGAGCGGTTATCACATACCTAAGTATATATTAGAGATCGCCAGTCTCTTTCATCCTTTCCGAAATACGCCTACCCACCAAAAGCTTGGTGATGCAATCTCCGATATCATGCTGGCAAAGCTCCAGCTCGCCGTTCTCATCACCGTGCTGCGCCGCCCACAACCCATTCAGCCTTCACCCAGAACCGTCAGAGCCGTCGGGTGTTTCCGTCCCGCTCGTATGTCGTACCAAGTGGGTCAAACCACCGTTACCGAATATCCCATCCCCAACGTGTACAACCAAGGTTGTCCCCGCGAGAACACCCATCAGGCTCGAGCATGGAAGCCAGAGAAGACCCCTCAGTGTCCAGTGCGAAGGAGAGAGACGTTGGCACGGCACTGCGCGAATCGCATCTCGGCAGCTGTTGACCGTTGGTAGCCCCGCAACGAGCGCCCGAGCCTAGTCTCACAGCCAATCGCTAAACGGGCTGTACGCCGCATGTACGAAATACGCCTGCACGTAGCTTACTACAAGGAAACGTCTACCATGTGCATCCTTATGCATCGAAGCCAGGTCCTGGTATGATGGCGAAGGTCACCGGGCTCATTCGGCGATCGTTCGTGATGCGTATCTCGTAACGAGCCCCCAGTCTGCGCAAGTACCTGGGTAGGCACAGCCGTGTTTGCACCCCGCGCGTTAAAGACCATTCGATGCGCATCTCGGCAACTTCAAAGCGATTCTTCATCATGCTACCCACCTCATCAACGGCATGACTGTCGCAACGCCCTCACGCTCATAAGCTCACCGTCTGGATGCCGCAGCGAACATCACATTCGACACATCCCTCGCCCCAGCGTTATACTTCACAGCCCTCCGCTGCCGCCACCCCGCCATCCGCCGCGAAGCCATCGCCCAACTCTCTCGCAGACTGACCCCCGAGGGACTCTGGGCCCGGCAACAGTTTCGTGTCCAGTCTGAGCGCATTGTGCCGGTAGAAGAGATGGGGTTGATGGGAAGAGGTGGCCGGAGGAGCGGGTGAGGCTTTGGAGCGGGACTGTGATGCCTGATGCACGTGAGGAGAGGGTCTCTTCCGTGGTCGTGCCTGACTTTCATGTCTTATATCGCCTAACCGTCGATTAGTCACCCAAAGACCCCACTACCAACCTTGGATGCTACCTAGGTACAAGCCCATTGCTAGCGCATCTCTCGACTCATTAAGATATTCCGCTCGAACAACTGTCCACGCCACATACAACACACAAAACTCCAAGATGACTTTCTTCGCGCCGCAATTCCAAATCGTCTCCGACCTACACCTTGAAACCCCCATGAATAACCCACAGTACTTAAACATCAACCTCACAGTCACCGGCAGCGCACTCTTCCTATTAGGAGATATAGGCCTAGTCATCCACGAAAACCTTTTTGTCTTTTTGTGCGATCTCCTTGACAGGAACCGCGGATGTCGTATCTTCTACGTCCTTGGCAACCACGAAGCATACCACACGACTCTCGAGTATGCCGTCGAACGAATTGTTGAGTTTGAGAATTTGGCGAGGCGGGAATACGGGGGTCGTTTTCGTCTGCTGTGCCGCGATCGATATGATCTGAACGAGGATGTTACGATACTGGGCTGTACGCTCTGGAGCAACATCCATCCCGAGCAGGCCGCTGAGGTGGGGTCCCGAATGACTGATTACAATGAAGAGCGCGGGATACAGGGTTGGTCGCCGGAAAGAAGTTGCGAGGAACATGCGCGGGATTTGGAATGGCTTAACGCGCAAGTCCAACATATCCAAGCCAACGAACCGTACCGCAGCGTGATCATCGCGACACACCACTGCCCGACTGTTGATGCCCGTGCGACGGATCCGCGGCACGCGGCTAGTTCGATGAATTCGGGGTTCGTGACTGATTTGTCAAGGGAGGTGTGTTGGACGTCGCCGGTGGTGAAGGTGTGGGCGTTTGGACATACGCATTACAGTTGTGCGTGGAGGGATGAGGGGACGGGGGTGTTGGTTGTGTCGAATCAGAAGGGGTATGGCGGGAGGGGGAGGAGGGTTAAGAGTGTGGTCGTGGAGGAGAGGGGGGATGAGTGGCAGGTGTTGAAGAAGAAGGAAGAGGAGCCGACAGATGCGGAGGTAGCGCCATCGACGACGAAGATGGTGGAGGAGAAGAGCGATACAAAAGGCGTACCAGATGGGAGACCGAAGACAGGTCTATTCGATCAAGCGACCAAGCGGGTAAAAGCTCTTTTCCACCACGCGCCTTCGACATAACATGGCGGAGAATGTAGCGAGCGGTCCCAGATGGAGAAGAAGTCTGGCTTAGGTAGATGTGATGAGGCTTCAGGATTGCTCAGCTTGATCCATGACCTTGATCAGGTCCTCTTCCTTGAAACGATGCATAAGCTTCAGCGACGAAGTAGTAGTCTCCTTAGCTTCGGCTTTGTCGATGTGGATCTGGTTGAACATTTAGGTACTCTGTGCATTACACGCATATATAAATCCGTGGTCCGGGTCGGCTTACCACCGGAGTATCAAACTCGTACGCGCCCTTCCACTTCTCTTGCCCTGCGTCCATGACATTGATCTCCTCGTAATCAAATGGCCTCTTTGCTCTGATATTCTGCACGACAGCTTTAGCCGTGTCGCATAGGCCGCATGGGGTTCGGGTGAAGAAGGTGACGCGGCAAGCGAGCAGGCGGGATGTGGCGCGGAACATGATGGCGACGTGTTGACAACCCACACACACACACACTCTCAGTACCGATGACTACGAGCGTGCAATACGAACGGAGAGCTTTGGGCTGACGCGACGGAAATCCCGAAGATGGAAAGCTTCAACGGCCAGGATATCGATTAAGCTTCGCGCTTGGACCCTATGATGACGGCTGATTTCCAGAATGTTCGGAACAAAATCTGGGGCATCGCAACACGACAAGCAGCGCGCATCCGACCTTTCTCTCCACTCGTTAAGCGCGTTATTCACAGAAACCGACGATTATGGCGAAGAAGTGTGTTCACAAGGGCTGCGGCAAGACGTACGAGGACGAGACCGAAGAGTGTGTTTACCATCCCGGCCCACCCAAATTCCATGAGGGGCAGAAAGGTAGGTCAGCACCACCAACGCGTATATCGACAAGACCAGAAAAGGTGCTAATGCGATTCCCCAGGCTGGGAATGCTGCAAACCACGCGTCCTGACCTTTGACGAGTTCCTCGCAATCGAGCCGTGCACAAAGGGCAAGCACTCGGACGTCGACGACACACCCAAGCCCGAGCCCGTCAAAGCCCCCGACGTACCCAATGACACCCAAGTCAACCTCGGATCGCTCGAGGAATCTCTCCCTGCGCCCGCGCCCCGATTACCCACCGCACAAGCCACGCCCAAGCCCAGCGCTTCACCGGCGCCGCCGCCAGAATCCGAAGACGACGACCCGAGTCTGGAGATCAAGGAGGGCATGACATGTCGGCGGAAAGGATGCGGCGCGACACACAAGGGAGGCGATAGAGAAGGAGAGAGCTGCATACACCACCCGGGTGCGCCCATCTTCCACGAGGGCAGCAAGGGGTGGAGTTGCTGTAAGAGGCGGGTCATGGAGTTTGATCAGTTCATGAAGATTGAGGGGTGCAAGACAAAAGACCGACATTTGTTCATCGGCAGCGGCAAGAAGAAGGAGGGCGAGGAGAAACTAGAGACAGTTCGGTACGTCTCCCTACCCTCTCAATCAAGACTATCCACTAACCCCACACACCAGACACGACTACTACCAAACCGCCACCTCAGTCGTCGCATCCCTCTACCTCAAGAAAATCGACAAAGCAACCGCCGTCGTCGACTTTCAACCTACACACGTCAAGCTCGATCTCCCCACCTCAGACAGCAAGCGCTACCAAACCGAATTCCCTCTCTTCTCAACTATCAAGCCGGAAGAGAGTAAGTTCAGGATACTAGGCACCAAGCTCGAGATGACGCTAGTCAAGGCCGATGGAGCTAGCTGGCCGGTCCTTAGGAGCGACGATAAACCTACTGGGGAGATGATCCAGGTGGGTAGGGCAGGGAGGGCGTAGATGGGTGTTGCCATGGCATTCGTGATGAAGACATGAGTCGCATAGATCAAAGTAATGTATCAACGAAGTTACGTTAATTCAGATATGCCCTTGGACGCTGCGAGTGAGTATGCATGTGTATGGTGTATGAATGGGGGACATGTGAGAGAGGGGTGGCTTATTAATCATGACGCACCTCGCGCTCTAGCTATCTCCGCATGTTATGCAATCAGCCTTACAACATCCCTCATTTCCAATCTCGAGGAGGTTTACTAAACAGCAAACCAAAGTACCGAGGACTGGGGCAAGATATAAGACCATCGTTACGTTTGTCGTCACATATCACACCCATTCTCATCGAATACCAATCCCCTTCACACCCACCCACCCAACATCCCCATACCAACTCAACCTGCCATCCCCCGGAACCCAGCCAAACCCAACAATGTCCCCCAAATCCAAACTCATCGCTATCGTTGCTGGTGTTGGTCCCGGAACCGGCGCCTCCGTCGCCCGCAAATTCAGCCAAACCTACCCCGTCGTGCTCCTCGCCCGCACCCCCGAATCCTTCTCTTCTCTCGCCGAGGAAATAAACGCCTCCGGCGGTCACGCCCTCGGCATCGCCACAGACGTGTCCTCTTCGTCCAGCCTGTCTTCTGCCGCCAGCGCGATCAAGAAGGAGTTTGGACAGGACGTCGCAGCCGCAGCAGCAATTTTCAACGCTTCTGGTGCGTTTATGCGGAAGCCGTTTTTGGAGATTCCGAGCGAGACTTTTGAGAAGAGTTTGGGTGTTAGTGGTATGGGTGGAGTGCTGTTTTCGCAGACTTTCTTGCCGTTGTTGTTGAAGGGTGTGGAGAAGGGGTCTGAATATCCGCCTAGTCTGATTTTTACGGGCGCGACGGCGAGTGTAAAGAGTAATGCGATGATGGCGAGTTTTTCGACGGGGAAGTGGGCGTTGAGGGCGTTGAGTCAGAGTTTGGCGAGGGAGTTTGGACCGCAGGGTGTGAGTCGTCCTTTTCTTTTCCGTTTTTGCTGTCTTTGGGATTGTGGATGAGGTGTGGAGTGGATGGTTTTGCTAATGCGGTGTTTTGATGAACAGGTGCATGTTGCGCATGCAATTATTGATGGGGTGATTGATATTCCGAGGACGAAGGAGTGGTTGAAGGATATGCCTAAGGAGGCCAAGTTGAGCGCTGATGCTGTGAGTATCTTTTCCTTTGTTTCGTGGTGTCTTTTAACCCTGTTTTGGCTAAGGGCTAAAACCTAGTTATGCGAAAGCACCTACAGTTATATACTCTTACGCCTACTCTTACTATCTTTTTATACTTAGTCTTATAGTTTTTAAATTTCCTTTAGTATATAATCTAAGTTAAAGTATTACTTTTTATAGTTAGTCTAAGCCTTATTTTTCTTTAATAGCTTACTTAGCTTTATTAAGTAGGCTTAGAGAAGATCTTAGCTAAGACTATTATTTAGAGCTATACTTATTAACTTAGTTATATAGCTTCTAGAGTAGTACTTACTATTTTAAAAGTCTTTCTACTCTTTAGTAATAAGAAGTATAAACTAGGCTTTAGTCTTCTAGATAAGATTAGAAGAAGTAAAGTTTATTCTTTTATAAAGAAAAATTTACTTCTTTTATATTATAGTTAAGAAATTAATTATAGCGCTTTTAGCAGCTCTACTATTAATAGGCAAAATAATATAATTATTAAAAAAAGTTATAACTAAGTAATATAATAGATAGAGAGAAGAAAATTAGTTTAGCGTATTACTTTTATACTTACTACTACTTACGCAACTATAATATAGCTAGAAGAGCTCTATAGTTTATAAAGATACACCTAAAGTACTATTAACTAAACTAAACTATAGTTCTACTTTATAGAAAAAGGATAGCCTATATACTTAAATATTAAGGTTAGAACAGGCTAGAATAGACCTAGTAGTAGTAGTGGTGTCTTTTGCTAACGCGAAGTGCAGATTGCGAACGATTACTGGTGGTTGCATACCCAGCCAAAGACGAACTTTACCTGGGAGATTGATCTTAGGCCGGCGGTTGAGAAGTGGTAGGTGCGCGTTGTCACGCCGAGAGGACTATAGGATAGGAGAATTGCGCATGAGAGTGTCATGTGTATCAATAGCAAACACTCGACATTATAAGATCCTGCGTCACCACGTCAATATCTCTGATATCGCAGAAAATTCCTGCGTCACCGCGGATACCTTCACTTCGCTTTCACGCTCTTTCGAGGTGAAGACGAGTACGCTAGGAGGTCCTCGGTGTATATAATCTTGTCAATCTGCTTTTCTTCTCCCTTCTTACTACTTACAACGACGTCGCAGTTACCAAGACGAAGCGCGTATCGGATCGATTACCGAACACATCACCACTGTACCAATGTATGCGCACTATCGAGAGCTAATGTAGTCGGTGCGCATCACTGACACGCGATAGATCAACAACATGTCTGGCCTCGGCAGCTCCCGCTGGTCGTCAAAACCGACATCAAAGTCGTCTGAAGGTGGAGGGAAGACTCCCGACGAGCCGTAAGTATCTTTCACTTTGTCTTAGCAGGGATGGTATTCCAACAGTAATACAGCAAACACATCGCCGTCCCGTCCTTTGGGTTCACGATGCCTTCTTTCACCAAGAAGTCGGCTACCGTCGCATCGTCTCCTATCGTCTCATCTTCGACAGAGGCCAAAGTGGTCGAGATGAAAAAGCCCGCGGTCAAGGTCGATGAAGCTCCTTCTCAAGAGCTCATCAAAGTCAAGACTGGTAAACCGCAGTCCAAAGTCACCGCCGCTATCCAGGCAACTCGAGACCGGATGGCCAAGTTCGTGGGCCTACGTCGTCAAGATCGCCCTTCAACGGCAAATGCGACGATTGGACGTGGTCCAAGCGCATCGTACGGAGGATACACCAGGAGGGGATAGACAGGCTGCAGTTGCCTCGCATGGGCGCCAGGAATCAGGAACATACTATTTGGAGGAGGCGAAGGATTCTCAGGTACTTTTGACAGTTGAGATGACCAATCAAAGTACATTAAATACCTCCTGGCTACCTCCCGCCATAGGCGATAGAATGATCAAAACCTGATTTAGACTCCATGTACCACAGTTTCGACAGACGCAACGGGTGCGACATAATATGCCCGAGGGCAGATAAGATGCAAGGTCTACACCGATCGTGCAGCAGCCAGATTGGGCCACTTGCAGAAAATCTCACTCATCAATGTCAGGCTGAACTTGGTCGCATGCGCATGCGCGACATAGTTCGCTAACCGTGGCGAGGGGAGAAATGTCCCATCTGGCCTGACGTACGAGTGCGGCGTATCCATGGGTAGTCGAGAACCCCTGGCACCTTTCATCTACAACGTCGTTGAGACGCAGAGTCGTTGGAGCGCATCGAGATGATTTGCCGGGCAGAGGCAAATGCTAAGGCCGAGCCATCGAGATTGATGCCGCTTTCAGACCCGCGGAAGTAAGACAACAAGGCTACGTCTACCGGCCAACACGGCCTGGCGATATCATAGGTAGCGATATGCGTAGTTAGCTGGATGGGGCAAAAGATAGACGAGAGGCTCGCATCATGTGAAGGTGTTGCACCGTTCGGAGCCTTGCATACAACCATGCGGGACATGCGCTGGCGACGATGGGCATGGTTCTGACGGACTAGAGTAAGGTGACGGTGAAGCGCCTGGCTTACAGCCAAACGCAATCGACTGGGCGTATTTGTACGTGCGCCATAAGGCTCCGCGACACCTTACTACTGCATGCAGGCCCACCCACGTGTCAGCGCCCGTTCTGCGTGCGACAGCTCATGTGCTGGGGCAAGCAGAGAGGGAGGCGTTTGAGAGACTCGGACCAAGCGGGATTAGCGATAGATGGAGATGCGGTGCTAACCGGGCCGCTGGTGAAGTGGGAGGTTGCTGCTGCGACTGCGCGGCGGCCAACAGCTGGGCCGCTGGGGTGTGTGGCCGTGGGCTGTCAGGGTAAGCATAAGCTCATGACGGCAGACCGGCAGAGAAATCGCAGTGACTGGTAAGTTTGTCGGATGAAGCGATCGCTTAAATACCACGGTATGCTATGGCAGCACTCGCTGCAAGGACCAACGCCAAGTTGCTCTCGTCCCGTCGGAAGGGAAGGTCCAACGTTAATACCCGTGTGCCCGCAGCATCGAAGGCAGACGCCAGCCAGCACCCAACGCTGGAACCACACGATCCGAGCGACCGCAGATTGTGCTGCCTGCCGCCCTGGAATACGCGACGATTGCGCAACAACTCCGACCTGCATTGCATCTTGTCGTCGTCGTCTGGTAATCTTCGGCCCCAGCCCGTGACTGGCGTTTCCGGCAACCATCCCATCTCTCCGGCCCGCACATCGTAGCAACATCACCCGAAGACTCGATCAACAAGACGCGCGCAGCCTCGCAGCACCGCCATTCTTCATCCACACCCGTTCTCAGAACTCCCTGCACTCATCGCCAATATTCGCGCACCGCCTGAGCTGGGCGCCGTCGCGCATCTTCCCATGACCGGAGAGAATGCACCGCGGCTAACTGCACTGCCTGCTTACCCACCACAACAACGACATCAACGGCCGCCATCTCCTCCCGGACAGCATCAGCAACTGCAGTCTCCCCTAACCCAGCTGTCTCCATCCACCGTCAAGGCGTCTCCGCAGCAGACTCCCGGGCCCCTTGATGCCAGCGGCGGCAGTGCTGAGCCCTCAGCAAAACGAGGCATGCGCTCGCAGATTGCATGCACCAGATGTCGCCGAAGCAAGACCAAGTGCGAAAACACCGGTCAGGGCACGACGTGCAAGGCTTGCGCGAATACCAACCGCGACTGTACCTGGGACCACGCGGCTGTCGCAAGCAGCACAGGATCTGTGCGCCGCGATAGCACGGCCGATTTTGATGTAAGTCATCCTTTTTTGTCTCCCAGTACTCCTTTAGTCGTATTGCATATCAACGTTCGTGGCTGAGTTCACGTCCTGGGCTATATCACGTGCTAGCGCTGACACCCCTAGGCCCCGCCCAAGAAGCGACGCAAGTTGCTAGCACCAACGTCGACTACAGCGCAACGCTCGGTAGAAGGCTTGGGCTCGCCTGAAGATGCTCTTCAATCACCATTGCTTACTTCCCAGGTCTGGGAAGAGTTGTTTGACATCTATGAGAAGCATTTCTCTACCGACTTCCCCTTCTTGCATAAGCGAACTTTCCTCAGCTCTGTGCGGCCGCCGCCTTCATCTGGCAGCTCATCTGAAGTTAAGACTCCGACTCAAGCTCCAACGCCGCGCGTGTATTCGCCTTTGCTCTTAGCCTTCCTTACCCAGACTGCTCGTTTCCATGACAAGCTCGTAGCGCAAATGGGTAATGACCCGATCAGGGTTGCCGAATTCTACGCATCGGCGACTCGCACGCAGATGGGAACGGATATCATTGGGTCCCCGAATGTGGAAAAGATCCAAACACTCCTCATGTTGGGGTATTATGAATGGACCAATTTGCAAGGTACTGAGGGCTGGATGAAGGTCGGGATTGCTATCAGAGCTGCCATATGCCTTGGGTACCCGCACCTGGATGTCGATGAAAGCGGACTACCTGCACCACTGAAAGACTGTGAAAAGGGCCTTTCGGAAAAGGACCAATTCATACTTCGCGAGACTCAGCGGCGTACTTTTTGGAGCTGCGTCCTCATGGATTGCTATCTGAGTTGGGGGGAGGATCGGCCGAGGATGCTTACGCCCGATCAACTTCAAAGAACCCAACTTGTCTGTAGCGATGGCGCATTCAATTTTGGAAAAAGAGCAAGAACAAGGCTTCTGGGTGAAGACGATGCGATGTATACTGCGCGGAGGAAACGATGGAACAAACATGCTGAGGAACGCCGTAATGACCACGACGGAGCAGATCGAGCCAGTGCCCTGGACGGGGGGAGGTGGGAAGTTGCTGAGGGGGAGGCAGAACTAACATGGTACATCAAAGTTGTTGTGATCTTCGGAGAAGTCTCACAATGGTCCTGCAAACGCGGCAGAAGGTCCGTTTGCCTCGTTCGTTCCGCCGCGATATCTGACTGACAACGTGTAGACAAGAAGGCAAGAATCCACCGTGGTGCGCGACGACTGGCTTCAAGAAATTGGAGGACAAACTCAAGCAGTTGAAGCGCGACCTTCCTGATCACCTCCAGCTGACCTCGGACAACAACGACGACCGTAGCTACAACTCGCCCGGCAAATACGTTGCAATACATGCAATGTACACATTGTGTTTTGTGTGGTTGTACAGAGAGTACATGCCCACATCACCATGGACGTTGACGTATCCCCGCGGCCCGTTGGATGAGCCACTAATCGATGAGAAACCCCCTGACCCTGACTACTGGATCAAGCAAGCCAAAGACTGTTGGAAAGCCTGCCTCGACTTCACAACACTACTTCATACTATCGAGAACTCACAAGTTCATAGCAATTTGGTACAAACGCCAACGGTAGCTTTCTCTTGTTTTGCCGTTGGAATAGGCAGTAAGTATCTAACAGTGATTTGGTTGGGTATTGCTAACCACCCCAGCCATCTACTGCCACTACTTTCCTCACATGGACCCGGACGACGCCCTCTCATCTCGTAAAGACCCTAGAGCCCATGATATCGCAAACGGCTTCCTACTACGCATTCTGAGTCGCTTCAAGATGGCCCGCTCGTGGCTCAGCCAACTAGCAGAATGGCAACGATATTACCGTCGTGAGAGGAAGAAGTACCGAGAGCTAAGCGGCCAGATCGACGATTCTCCAAAGAGCAACTCCAGCGATGGCGTCGCTAGCGGTGGGTTGAAAGACTATGCACAGCTCTTCGAAAGAACGCATAAGCAGTTCGGTGACATTGCGAACGCTAACGACAACGACGGACAATGGCCCGACAGGGATAAGGACCTCGCGGATACGAGACTGCCGCATGACGAAGACTCTGCAGAGCGCACTTTGCCTACCAGCGCCGCTTCGGTCAAGCATGAGATGCAAGGCGCGCCGGAGGAAAAGTCCAGTAACCAGTCCGGCTTCACCGCTGTCAACCACAATGGTCAACAAACACCTCCAGCTCCTCCTCCAGTCACCCAGCCATCAACCTACGCGCACGGGGGCCGTACGCCTTCTTATGATCACAACTCTCATATGCGCGCCACGGCACTGACATCACCACAACAACCCTACCCAGCATATCAATACACCAGTACTCAGCATCCCCTGAGAAGTCCCTTCCAGCAATCTGATCCCCACCAATCACCTGTGACAGCCCCCGCATCTGTCCCGATACACGGTGTCTATCAACCATGGCCACAAGCACGACCGCAGGAGATACAGGAGCAGAAGGTCAACATGGAGATTTGCGGCGCTGCTACTTTCCCCAACGGCTGGGCGGGCGATGTCATGATTGGTGATAGTGCTCAGGACTTCAATAATTGGGGTCAATATGGCTTTCCGACTATTCCGGATAACTCGGGGTATTATCAGTCTGGGTATTCGTATCCGCCGCAGTAGTTCTGTGGGGTTGCGGTTGACTTGTTCCTCGCTGTGTTTGGCGCGTGAGTAATGTCGCGACGACTATCCTTCGTCATTCTCATTTTCTAGCATATCTGTTTGGCTTCTTGTCATCCACATTCTTTCACTCCTTCCTTCGGCGCATGTTGCGATGGTTGTTTTCCCTGGCTGCATCGGTTGTGCCATTTAGATTCCTAAGGGCGACAGGATGTTATGTAGCGGAGTTTGTTTTCTTCATAGGTGGGTTACTTGTTATGCGATGATCTTGGGTTGGCGGCATGCGACGGGAGAGTCGTAGGCGGATCGATCGGTCTTTATGCACATGTAGATGCACATGTAGATGCACGTATCGTATAGCATGTTTGTAGATTTGTGGCAATCTAGTAGTATCAATCCTGGCAGAAGCGTCTTCGACCGATCCCTGATGCATGAGGTTGATGATATTGACGCCGCAATCTGCCCAACGGCAATGCTGAGCGTATAACGAGTTTGACCTTTTCAAAGCACTTTGATGGAGTTATCCTTGAGAGGTTCATGAGAAACCTAGCGATGCAAGACGTATGAAAGACTCGAGATCGGTGTCTCTTCCATCAGCTCGCGCTGAGTATGGTTGCTTGCTTTTCGCGATGATCATGGCCTTGTTACGTCAGGACCAAATCAATGTACCTCGGTAACTCTCCCCCACATTCCATCACCACGAGGTTCCGACCCATCACTCATCAACCCATGCCGTCGCATCGCACCCCAGTCATTCCATCCGCAATTATCCTAAGAAACGACCTCCGAGCCAATTCCCCGATGCCCGTCGTCATCACCCCGCGGATGCCTTTCCCAATCCAGGGCGGAAAGGCCTCAACCCAAGCTTCCGCAAGCATCCACAACTATACGACCAAGCATTAACCCTCACGCTAACCCCACTGATCGCCGCCTCTCTGCACCGCCTGGGCAACGGCCATGGCGCACATCGGACATGTTTCCCCGCCTACCTCAACCGAGATGCGGGCATCGACTCCACTAACAAGCATCCAAGCTGCGATATTGGTGGAATCGGTACTTGCGTTTTGGTCGCTTCGCCGCATCCTAGACCATGCTAGTATCGCTACGGCTACTCATCCGGTTCAACACGCGGTCTTAGCACGTTCAACATGGGGCAAGACTGGGGAAAGTCGCTGGGGAAAAGAGGTATGTGCGTTCGGATCGCAATGGCACGAGCGGCGTGGAAACGATGCTGTCATTGTTTGACAGGAACGAGGAAAGATCCCGGTTCGGCTACATGCATACCGTCTGAAGATCCGGAAGCTTTATATTGCTTGCCCTCCCCGCGGAACTTTGATCGAGCTACAAGCAAATTGACCTTTGGTTTCGTATTTTGGTCAATATGAAGAGCTTCTCAAAGCTTGCAGGCGCGGTTGCGCTGGGATGTTTTGCGGTTGAGACTGCGGCGAGGGCTGTGGGGTATTCGCCTCAGCAGTGGATTAAGCCGTATAAGAGAGAGGCTTTGCAAGATATCGTAAGTTGCGGAGTTGAATCAATATCTTGGGATGACGATGGCTAACCGACATTACAGGTCACATGGGATGAAGACTCGCTCTTCGTACATGGAGAACGCATCTTCCTGTACTCTGGCGAGGTTCATCCGTACAGATTGCCGGTACCTGATCTCTACTCCGATGTCTTCCAGAAGATCAAGGCTCTTGGGTACAATGGTGTTTCATTCTACGTGGACTGGGCATTGCTTGAAGGCAAGCCCGGTGTTTACCGTGAGGAGGGTGTCTTCGATCTAAAGCCATTCTTCGATGCTGCACAAGAAGCTGGCATTTACCTCATCGCCAGACCGGGTCCATACATCAACGCCGAGGTATCTGGTGGAGGCTTCCCCGGATGGATCCAAAGAGTCAACGGCACGCTGAGAACGCGTGCGCCTGACTTCTTGGAGGCGACCGACAAGTACGTTTCTGAGCTGGATCTAAGCGGCGCCTTGCTAACAGCGGAATAGCTACATGAAGAATGTGTTGGCGACAATTGCGCCTGCGCAAATCACCAACGGCGGACCAATTATTCTCGTTCAGCCCGAGAATGAGTACACACAGGCCACTTCGGCTATCAAGCCTTTCCCAGATCCGGTCTACATGCAATATGTCGAAGATCAAATTCGCGACGCCGGTATTATCGTGCCTTTGATCAGCAACGATGCCTCCGCCAAGGGCAACAATGCTCCCGGTCAACCTGCAGCTGTTGACATTTACGGGCATGACGGCTACCCTCTTGGATTCGACTGTGCCAATCCTACCACATGGCCAGACGGCAATCTTCCAACAAACTGGCATCAGCTCCACGAGCAGCAGAGCCCCACTACGCCTTACTCCATCGTTGAGTTCCAGTCTGGCAGCTTCGACCCATGGGGCGGGCCAGGTTTCGACAAATGTGGCATTCTAGTCGGCGCAGAGTTCAACCGTGTCTTCTACAAGCAACTGTACAGCTTTGGTGTCACGATTCTGAACTTGTACATGACTTACGGTGGCACGAACTGGGGTAACCTTGGTCATCCCGGTGGCTATACTAGCTACGACTACGCTGCACCGATCAAGGAAGACCGTCAAGTCGACCGCGCGAAGTACTCCGAGCTAAAGCTCCAGGCAAACTTCTTCAAGGTCAGCCCTGCGTACCTCACGGCTGCACGTGGCAATGCTTCGACTTCCAAGTGGACTACCAGCAGTGACCTTAGCGTTACTCCCGCCACCAACGAGAAGACGACATTCTACTTTGTCAGGCACTCAAAGTACAACTCGCTAGATTCCACAGCCTACAAGCTCAACGTTGCAACGTCGACAATGGGCAACATTACTGTACCCCAAATGAACGGCACTTCGCTGACGCTGAACGGCCGCGATTCCAAGATCCACGTCAGCGACTACGATATTGGCGGCACCACCCTTGTCTACTCTACTGCGGAAGTCTTCACTTGGCACAAGTATGAAGACAAGACTGTCTTGGTTGTATACGGTGGACCTGGAGAGACTCACGAGTTGGCCCTTGCTGCTACTGGACTGGAAGTCGTCGAAGGCGATGTCAAGAGCATGACTACTAGTGGAGTCACAGTTTTGAACTTCAAGGCTGATGGAGGTAGAAAGGTGGCAAAGGTTGGAGCTGACAGCCCCATCTACGTCTACATGGTCGACCGCGTCGAAGCCTTCAACTACTGGGCTGTCGATCAGGCACCCCACGACTCGTCCAACCCTGTTATTCTCAAGGCAGGCTACCTGATGCGCACTGCCAAGGTCACTGGCGATACCCTCGCCCTCACTGGAGATCTCAATGCTACAACCACTGTCGAGGTTCTTGGTGGTGCATCATCTGATGTGTCCAAGATGACCTTCAATGGCCAGGATATCGACTTCACCACCTCCGAGCAAGGAACTTTGTGCGCCGACATTGAATTCACCAAGCCAGATGTCAGCCTACCCAAACTCAGCGAACTCGAGTGGAAGTACGTCGACTCGCTTCCTGAGATCCAACCCGGATACGATGACAGCGAGTGGACTGCGGCCGATCTGAAGAAGACGTACAACTCTCTGCGTCCCCTTGACACCCCCGTATCGCTCTACAGCTCCGACTACGGCTACCACACAGGCACACTCCTCTTCCGTGGCACATTCACTGCGTCCGGAAACGAGACAACCTTCAACCTCACCACCCAAGGTGGCTCAGCATTCGGCTCATCCGCCTGGATTGGCGACCAATTCCTCGGTTCATGGCGCGGATACGACGCAGCCCTAAACGGAAGCGCTACATTCACCATGCCCAACCTGACCAAGGGAAAGAAATACACCATCACGGTCGTAGTCGACAACCAAGGTCTCGACGAAAACTGGACCATCGGCACCGAGACAATGAAGAACCCGCGCGGTATCCTAGACTACAAGCTATCTGGCCACGACGCCTCCGACATCAGCTGGAAGCTCACCGGCAACCTGGGTGGAGAAGATTACCGCGACATATCGCGCGGTCCCCTCAACGAAGGCGGTCTCTTCGTCGAGCGCCAGGGTCTGCACCTCCCCGGTGCTCTCTCCGCCACCGACGCTAAATGGACTGCTTCCGCCGGCCCCGTCGCCGACGGCATCTCCGCTCCTGGAATCGGTTTCTTCGCCACGGAATTCGATCTCAACATGCCAGCTGGCTATGATATCCCGCTTAGCTTCACTTTCACCAACGGCACTTCTTCTGGTAACAGCAGCAGTGGAGGTTCGAGTGTTCCTGCGTACCGCGTCCAGCTTTACGTCAATGGCTGGCAGTATGGCAAGTATGTTAGCAATGTTGGGCCGCAGGTCAAGTTCCCTGTTACGGAGGGTATTCTGAACTACAACGGAACGAACTATCTGGGTGTCTCGCTTTGGGGACTTGATGGTCGCGCGACGAAGGTTGAGGGCTTGGAGTTGGAGGTTGATGCGGAGATTTGGAGTGGGATGAAGAAGGTGGGGACTGTCATGGGGATGGAGTATGAGAAGAGGGAGGGGGCGTATTGAGATGTTTAGTCAGAGATATCTCTATCAACCAATTTCACATGTGCAACTCGCATTGAGACTGAGACAACGAACACTTTCCTCTTTCACATGGAAACAATCATATCAGGTCCTACGCGTCGTCCAAATTAAGTTCCACAATGTTCTACGTCTTGTCGTTACCCTCGCAATTTCGCACTCACCTGGACTTTTAGCGTGGTCTTGGCGCGGTCACAAACAAACGCGTCTTCCAAGGTTTGCTCAACACAATTTTTCCACTTACCCTCTTCACCTTGCGAGATTGTTTCTCGTTTCTTGACCTTCGCCCAAGCAACGTGTTACGATCGCGCGACTCCACGATGGCAACCAAGTAAGTCGTGCCCGGACGCGTGTCTTGATGAACATGTACTGACGATTACAGCGTCGGCAGCTCTCGCGGCAGCTCTCGCGGCAGAACGAGCTTCCTCGACTTACCTGGAGGTAATTATCATAGTGTCTACTCTTGAGGTCGCAAGCTGATATAGTATATCGCAGAGTTGCGAAACAAGATCTACGATTACTTCCTCAACCTTAAGCCATCAATCACCAAAGCTGCCAATCTAGCCTGCGTTACTCATATAGTACACGCCGAGTTCACAACGCTATTTATACGACGGTGGCAGTGCAAGAGCGAGACATTTCATTTCGAGAGTATCCACGAAGTGCTCCACTCGTTCTTCGTTCAGTACCCCAACTCGGCTCCCAAGAACGTTCGCTACGTGTTCTGTGTGGGAATTGAAGCCGGCACCATTTACCCTGTAGGCCCTGAAGACGATAACCCCGTCTGTACACTGGACCTGCTCAAAGTTGTTTCTGTTCTGCGTCTATATCCGTTGATCCATATCCATTGGGATTTGGTCAATCGTAACAAGGACGCAGTACTTGAAGATGGAGAGGTTGCCTACGCCGTGTATGCCTTGGAGGAGATGAGTGACCATCAACTGGAAAAGTTGGATTCCGCAAAGCTCGACCTGTGGTACAACTTCTCCTACGCTTGGGGAAGGCATGAAGTACATGCCAATCTGGATCTCAGGTTCAAGAAGGGTGCTACCAAAAAAGACGTCAAAACCATCAGCGCTTCACAAATTCGTACCGAACACCAAGGGATCATAGTGGGGATTGAGTGGGAGAGAAATTCTTGGGGCAAGGATGTCTGCGGAGGGTTTCCTAAAGACCTGTCTTCAAGCAGTGAGGAGGACGACTCCGATAGTGGCGAAGAGAACTCGGACAGCGGCGAAGACAACTCGGACAGCGGCGGAGTTGATCCCGAGAGCGAAGACCAGATCTTGTGCCTGTAATGGGGACGGAGGATAAGAAGAGTGAGATTGCACATTGATGTATTGGAAGGGAATATATATGGATATTCATTGTCTACATATCCACCCGCTCCAGAATGTATGATCAATCTTGGCAGTGAGAGCCTTCGAATTATTCGTGTTCTGCATATGTTTATTATTCCTGCTTCTGAGTCACTGATTATGGCGACATTGTGATTGCTGGAGTCAAATGAGGAGCAAAAGCTTCGCGTAGCTCTCGTCGTCACCCTCACCATTTGTTCTGTGCGGTCTAGCGCGGTCTTGGCGAGACTTTGACAAACGCGTCATCGTCAACAACGACTTTACTTGTTTACAGGCCTCTCAACCCTTACTACACAATTGTTTCATCCGTGAAGCATCGCTCCGAGCAAACCAAACTCCCGCTGCGCGACACCGCCATGGCCGTCAAGTATGTTACCCAGCCAGCATTTCCAGTGAGTGCGTGCTAACAGTCGAAGCAGCAGAGACAACGGTGGCGGGAAGTCGTTTCTGGACCTTTCCGGAGGTAAATATCGTAGCAGCGCTCTTTAGCCATGGTATGCTAACGCCATATTACAGAGCTTCGCAATGCCGTCTACAATCACTTCATCGACCTCGATCCTACAGTCGGCGAAGCTACCGCACTAGTGCGCGCCAGTCAGCAGATTCACACTGAGTTTGGCTCGCTATGTCTGGCATCAGAGAACTTCGCGATTCCTGAGGAGCATGTCAACAAATTTCTACACGCTTTCTTCCCCCATAGCCTCAACTCAAGGCTGCAATATGTTCGTCGCCGCTTCGACCTGTCGTTGGATCCATTCGACTCGGAAGAGTGGTTAGGCAACCTCCTCCAACTGGTCTCGATAATGCACCAACAACACCGGCTTCGACTCAAGATCTCACGGTTCAGAGAAATCACCACGATTATTTCTGTCTTCAAAAACATGGATGTTCGGAAGCTCGAAAAAGTACGCTCCGTTTCGTTCGAGATGCGCACAGTGCCCTTGGACCACCCGATGAGCTTTCTCCCACGCTTAGCCGCTTTCGTTTGGGTGAATATGGAGGCTTTCGCCACAGAAGAAGATCCTTATGAGCTGGGACTCAACTACGAATACGGATCTATCAATGTACGCTTTGAGTGGGAGAATGGTCCATTCAATGATACAGAGTCTTCAGAAAACGAGGATGGTGATGAATATGGTGACGAAGATGGCTCAGATAATGAGGAAGAGACATCAGATGATGGCGATGAAGACGAGGACGGCGATGGAGACGCTCCAGACAGCAGCGAAGGCGCTGTAGAAAGTAGTGGCTAGGGAGGAAGGTGGTTACTGAAACGAGACTGGGATATGAGAAGATGAATCGGGGAGTACTGAGATGATGGTCATAGACAGTCATGGTGAGTCTGTACGCCATGAATGAAAACAACCTGCATGATCAGCTTTGACAGCACAAAAAATCATTTGGAACATGCTTCGTATTGTTGACGCAGTCCCTCCGTGTTTCAGCTCTTGTTCTAATTGTAGGGCTCACACTTTCCCTCGCTCACCGTGGGATTGTTGGCGCGGTCTTGGCGCGACGGTGCAAACAAACGCTCTTGCGCACACAACAGCTATTCCTACCTACCCTCGACCCATCCTCTACAACCGCTCAGTCTCTGGAGTCTAGCTCGCACCATCGTCGCGCGACATCACAATGACAAGCCAGTAAGTGGTGCAAAGAAGTTTTCCTTGATGAGCACGTACTGACGGCCATCTAGGTACAGCGTCGGCAGGCCTTGCGGCAGAAAGAGCTTCCTCGACGCACCTGGAGGTGAGTATTGGATATTTTAAATTCTCTGAATGCATTACTAACACAAGAACAGAGCTACGCAATACCTTCTACCACCACTTCATCGATCTCAGCCCATCAACCAGCGATGCTGCCAATCTTGCCTGCGTCAATCAGCAAGTCCACGCGGAGTTCACGACGCTGTATTTGAGCCGGAGATATCAAGGCACAACCGGACTTCCATTCGAGCATGTTCCGTTCTTCTTACACTTCTTCTTCGTTCGGTACCCCGACGCGGCTCCCAAGACCGTAGTCTACAAGTTCAAAGTAGGACTCGGAAATCCAACCCCCAAAAGCATTGATTTTGATACTGCCCCATGCTGGTCACTGGATCTGCTCAAGGTCGTGTCGGTCATGCGCAAGTACCCTTTGATCAAAGTGGTCTGGGACCTGGGCGCGGGCATGGGTCGCTACTCCGCTGTGTCGTTCGATGACACAGACATCGTCTACGCAGTGAGGAACCTGAGATCTATGAGTTCCCGACATTTCAGCAAGTTGTCTTCCATCAGGCTCACTTTGTCCGAATCGCCGAAAGAATTACACAACTTCCAGCCATTCCGGGTCGTGACTGGCCCCTCCCTAGACGCCAGCCTTTCGATCAAGTCGAAGAAGGGCGTGACAGAAGATTTCTTTGATAAGTTCGATACCAATTGCGGTGGCATCAATGTAGAGCTTGCGTTGGAAGACAGTACGGACAGTAATGAGGAGAGTTCAGATGGCGAGGAAGACATTCCAGTTGACGGTCACGAAGACTCAGAGAGTGAAGACCAGGTCCTTCCAGACTTAGGAGACTTGATTCTATTTTGAGAGGGTTTGTTCGCAGATGTATGAGCAGATTTGGATGACGACAAGCTGGATTCTTTCGATGAAGTTGAAGATATGGGGATCCGGCAGCAGTAAGAGTCTACGACGCTGGTTCAGTCTGCTTGACAAGATGAAAACACGTATATACCCAGTTTTGAAACACGGAACGAACTTTCCTCGTGGTCACTGCTATTCTTGTGTGCAAATGCGATATCGCGCGGACGCCGGCTTCGCCTAGAACAGACGCAGTGATCTCGACCATATTTATCAACTTTGATAACCACCAATGTACAAGTTGTGGTACCCGGTGAAGGCAAAGCCAATCAACGGTCATGACTCGGTGCGCAATCTCTTCGAGAACCCACCGCGCTTCTCTCACTTAATCTTCTTAGCGCAGTCTTGGCAGAGGCGCAGGTCTACGCCCTGCCGTGTTTGTCAAGTTACTCACTTTGCTTACGACACCCACCAAAGATCCCTCGGTTGCTCCATCAAGACTTACCCATCTATCGAGCTACTATCTCATACTGTCGCGATGACAACCAAGTAAGTCGTGCCCGAACATCACTCCCGAGGTCTGCACGAGACCACACTGATTAACCAAGCGACAGACAACATCGCCGCGGCGGGAAGTCGCTCCTTGACTTGCCTGGAGGTAAGTGCCATCATCTTGCTTGTTTAAATGGCGCAAGCTGACACTTTAGACAGAGCTACGCAACGCGATCTACGAGCACTTCATCGATCTCAACACATGCGCGTGTGACACCAACGCCATCAACCTACTATGGGTCAACCGGCAAATCCGCGCTGAGTTCAGATCATTGTACTTCAGTCAGGGCAATGCCAAAGTTTACCTCGACGGCATCGCAAGCTTCCTACGCGCCTTCATCCAGATCCCTTCTACAACCTTGATGCTTGACGACGTTGCTTGCAAAATTCGCGTGGAGCTCCGTGGCAGGCAAATAGATTACAAAAATTGGCAAATCGATCTGGTGGACGTCATCTTGGTCATGCGACAGTATCCTCTGCTCAGCATCAAATGGAACTTGATCCCGCCTGGCCACTCCGAGACACACAGTGACTTAGGGTTAGCTGAATATGTGTCCATTCTGAAGGATATGGACGATCACGAGTTTGCGAAGTTGTCTTCCATCTGGCTTCTTATTCATGATGGGCCATTGGGCGGAGACATTTACACCTTTCTGGAACGTGGTTGTACGGAACAAGATACCGATGATATCCAGCTCAAGATTGGGGGAATTAAGTATGAATGCCGAAGTATAATCTTGTGCTTAAGATAGCAGCCGTGCCCCGAGGCGCACACGATATCTCGGAGAGTAGGGAAGATGTGTAGGACAGCGGCAGGACAGCAGTTCAAAAGAACGATGTATTGAGAGAATTCAGAGATCGAAGATTTTTTAGGAGTAATAACATGACATGTCATTTACCTAAAGATGCGAGAACTCAGGCAGTATTATGAGTTCAAGAAGCTGCTTGCCTGGTCGTTTGTGTCTAGCGCGGTCTACGTTGCACAGCAGATCTTGGCGGACGCTGAGACAAAACGACCTGTCGTCCACAGGGTTATTTGCTCCTAGAGCTTTCCAGTCCAGCTACAAAGCTGTCCTCTACTTCTCACAGGCAGTGTATTTAAGCTACCACTGCACAGCACCATGGTGACAACCCGGTATGTTGCGGTCGAACATCCTGCTTGATGGAAGAACAAACTGACGATGATGGCGGCAGAACCCATAGTGGCGGAGCGCCGTTCCTTGACAGGTTGTCTGGTGGTATGTGGTCCATGAACTGGTTTATCCAAATACAACCAACTAACCCATCACATTATAGAACTGCGCAACGCCGTCTACAAGTACTTCATCGACCTCGACCCATCTCTTGACGAGAGCATCCAGTTCCTCCAAGTCAATCGGCAGATCCGCTCCGAATTCGGGTCACTATACTTGAGTCAGGCCAACGCTATAGTACCTCTTGACTGCCTCAAACCCTTCCTGCGCGACACCTTCCAGCCTATCGCTAGCCAGAGACCAAAGGACTTCACTTGCAGCTTCCTTGTACAGCTCGACTGGAACGATCTCTGTTGGCACAGGAGCTTCTGGGACCTCGACCTCTTTGAAACTGTCGCATTCATGCGTGGATATCCTTTACTCGAAATTCAGTGGGAGCTGGACCCTAATGCCCGCTTTAGACGCTCTAATCGCTCCAACCACTCTGCCAACTCCGGCCGTCGCGACCGCTCCGACGTACCTGAAGAAGAAGAAAGAACCGAAATTGACGACGAAGACCAAGACCAAGACGAACCTGATGAGACAGGGTCTGAGAAATCACAACCTGAGGAGTCAGAATCGGAGGAAGCAGACTCTGAGGAAGAAGAGATAGCGATTCCGAGTCATTCTGCTCGAGTCACTTTCAGTGTTGACGATATAGACATCGACGCGCCCCTGTCAATACTCAGAAATCTGGAGGATGCGTTGTACGCGAAGTTGGCTGCTATTGATCTGTCTTTATCTGTCAGGCCACCTTTAGATGAGAAGTTCAGTGCCGGTCTAGTAGCCAACCTTGATATTGCTCTGATGGCGAACTGTACGGAACAAGACTTCGAAGACTTTGGACTTGGTGTTGAATGCGGAGGCATCAAAGTGCGTTTTCATATAGCGCATGAGCCAGAAAGCGAATACAATGTCTCCGAGAGTGAGGAAGATGAATAGGATCTCACTGTCGTGGAAGGGGGATAAAGGAGAGATGGTGCAGGGTTTATGGTAGAGCAATATACGAGTAATGACTGTTCAGATTCATGTGATGAGCTTGAGGATGTGAGAAATCAGCCCGCAGCTTAACGCCGGCCCGGTCATCGATCCCTTAGGTCTAGCGTGGTCTTGGCGGGAGGCCTCATCTTGGACTGAGGTGCGAGTCTGCCTTGTTTACGACACCTCTTCGACGATATCGAATCGCCGAACATCAAACTCAAGCCTCTTTGGAAGAGTGGGTGCGCTTTCGCCGCGATAGTACTGCCTGAGTCAAGATCTCGCCTCAGTCTGAGTCAAAGACGCACTCTATTTCTCGTTGTGACAACAGCATGGCGCCCAGGTACGTCAAAAGAGCCGTGTGACACTGCAGTGCCAGTCGATGAAAACTAAGTTTCGAAGCAGCGCACACTACCGCCACAGAGCGAATTTCCTTGATCTACCTGGAGGTACGAGGTCCAAATACCGTAATTTAGCTGCCCGGGTCTAATTTGAGTTCTCCATACAGAGCTACGCAACGCCATCTACACCGAATTCCTCCATCTAAAACCAAAATGTACCGACGCCATTAACCTCGTCAATACTCATGAGCAAGTCCATGACGAGTTCGCGCCAATGTACTTGTCTCCGTCCAATCGGCTGCTATGCAGTCCCTGCGTACCTTTACGACAACTGAACAATTACCTGCACGTCTTCTTCGTTAAGCGCCCCCATGATAGTCTACGAACGATCAACCGTTACATCCACATACAGCTCTGCAAATTTGGAAGCTCTGAACAACGGAAAGTGGACCTTCTTCAGTTGGTTCAAGTCCAGAAAGGGTTCCCGTCATTCAACATGAACTTCTGCCCAGGGGCTCTACGAAAGATATTCCTTCCGTCTGATCCGTCTGACATGGTAGATGAGATAAAATCCGTGGTGTCGATCCTGAAGAACATGGACGCACAGCAACTCGAAAGAGTGGTCTCCGCACAGCTTGAAATCTTCGTCCCAGATGAGAAACAGAGAAAGGCTGACGTGCGCTGGGCGATATTTGTCAACATTACTGGAAAAAGACAAGCTGAGAAAGGGTCGTGGAATAGTCGTTCGCGGTCCGGACGGCAGGAACATGTGGATATTGATCTTACTGAACTTGGCTTCCCCGCCAATTACAAGGTCATTGAGGTGCGGATCATCTGGGAAGACTGATCCACGATTGCGGCGCGATGCGCTGGAACGCGCGGGAATCTGGGGAGTCTTCGTCGCTGCATGGTACGTGCCATCACCTATCCGTCTTCGCAAACAGCAAGCAGCCCTACTATTTCGAAAATCTTGATGGTGAATTACTCTTCTCTTCTCCCGTCTCGCTCTTGTGCCGCTTATACCAAGGCGCTATGAGTGTCAATGCAATTGAGAGGTGACCGAGTTGCTTTCCCAACTGCGAAATACATAGCCGCAAGTACGCATACCCATGATGAACAAGCCTGACACCTCAATCTAAAAACAAGCGACCGTGTACTTACAGCCACGTTCTCGAACCCAAGTTCCGAGCTCGGCGATAATGCAAAGAGCTCACAGCGCGCCACGCATCACCGCTCCTCCGATCACACTGCATACTGCACGCTGCAGGGAGTCTATCGAACAACGCCGAAACACCAGCTATCGTGAACTAGCGGGCATTGATACCACTACGCTAGTTCTGCGCCTGATGACCTTCTGGCAAGCTTCCGGTTCGTCCGTTGGTGATCAGAACACCCAGCTAATGGTCAAAGCGTGCCAGCGTACCTCGCCAATTCATGCCGCGACGAGCGAACGAGCACATACTGTACCCCAAGACAGCGGCATACGTAAGAAAGAGGCTGAACACGAGAGTGTCAGCTCCCAAAAACCCCTCTTTCTAGAAAGATAACCGTGCACAAGACCACGTGAGCACAGCTGATCTCAGCATCCCCCTCACCAGCATAATGCCCGCTCCCTTCGTACAACCTCCCAAATCCCTCACCTCACCCTTACTCCCGCACATCGGCGATGCAAACCTTCAAAGCGCCCAGACCATCTCTCTCAAGTGCACACACGACAGAATGACGAAAGTAACTCGCAGTTAAGGGATAAACAGAGAAAATGGGAAGCGAACGCCAGCATGCGTTGATTTAGGTCAAACGTCACAGGCACCGTGATGTGGGCCAATGGGCTTGCTAGCGCGGCCGGCCGCTAACCCCACAAACATGCAGGTGAGGGCCGTGCTAACCGGATGCGGGGCTAGGCACGTGGATTATGTTTTGGGGGACCACGGGGTTGACGTCGGTCGGTCGGTCGGTCGCTATGGTTGCTGCGTTGGTTTGCTGGCGTTTTCTGAGGGATTATAAGAAGGGGGGTGTGTGTGCTCGTGGTGGGGAGGTGAGCTGGTACTTGAGGCTTTTAGGCTTCTGCTGCTTCTGGATTTCTACTGTATCGAGGCTTTCGTTTGGGTATCTGAGTGGGTAGCTTTGTTTGTTGTATCAATTCAACGTCATCCCTCTTAGGTCCCGCGGACCCTGAGTCTCGCGTGGTACTCACCGACCTTCCTTCCTGCAGTGCACGTGTGGGGCTGATCTTCCTTTCTTTACTGGGGCCACGGAGCTATTGTGCTTTCCCTGGTTCTGTAATTTCTCTTGTCTTGTTGGGAGGGAAGGCATAAGAGGACTGTCAGCAAACATCTTCCTGCTTTCTTTGTTCAATTTCCACGTCTTCAATTGCCTATAGGACGACCATCCAACAACATCACCCCGGGGCCTGGACATACAACATGCTCAACCAACACAACCTCACCACTACCACCCTACACCCGTGCTACGACCCAACCATACCACGACCCCACCCAAGCATGTTCCCGGAAACGCACATCCACATGCTCATCGCAACGCTCGCCCTCCTCCTCCCCACCCTAACAGCCCTCTACATCCACAAAGACTACCGCGCCTTCCTCTCCCTCGGCCCCGGCGGCACCCCAGCAACCCCCCTCGGCTACCTAAAAATCAAACTCCTCTCTCTAATCTGCCTGCGCGACCCCCACCGCCCCATCGCCATCCCCCCACACTTCCGTCCGCAAAAAGGCTATTTCACCGCCTCCTCGCTACCCACTCGCAAAGGCACGAAACCGCTAATCCGCGGTATTGCGCCGCAGAGACAGCAGACGCAGAAGAGCGGGCAGGCGGTTTATGCGTGCTTGGTAGCCAAGATCAAGGGTCTTGCGGCGGATCCGGGGAATAGGTTGTTGGAACGTACGAGTTGCTTTGAGAAGCATAGTTCGGGGTTGTTTACCAGTGTGCCGATTACGAGGACGTGTGGAGGCGAGATTTGTCATGCGCATCCGAGTGATGGGTCGATGCATATGACGTTGCATCCTGCGGATGCGAATCTGTTGATTGAGATGGGGTGGGGTGAGAGACATCCACTTGCGAGGGGGGGTTGGTGTAGGAAGTTTGTGCCGAGAGAGTTTATGCTGGTTTATGCGCCGAGGGATGAGGCGGAGGTGGAGGTTGTGGCGGAGGTTATTGCGGCGGGGATCTGGTGGGTTAGTGGTGTTGATGTTAATGGAGATGCGGAGGGGCCGAGGAGGAAGAGTGCTGATGTTGCGGCTCTTGGCGAGGAGATGGAGGGGAAGGAGTGTTGGGCTTGTAGGGTGAATGGGTGTGGAGGAAATCAGGTTGAGAAGATGACGAGCGAGGCGTGAGGAAAGGATTGGAGAGGAAAAGAGTTATGGGAACAGATTGATTGGGATTGCCGGTTTTGCTCGTTCAAGCATGGCGTTTGGGGTTTTTGGACATTCGGGACACAGGGTATGGGGCATCGAAATCGGGCATTCGTGCGATGTACGATAGGCATAACGGTGGTCGACATACAATCATCTTTCGTACCGGGTATGAGACGCTTCGTGACAAAATACGCATGCCCAAGCACACCACCGGTGCGCGTTGTCAGTCCATCACGCCCGTCCGCTAGACCTCTTCAACCCAAATCTTCCCCGCTGTCATCAACCAGATCCTATTTCCCACCCTGCCTAACCCACTCCTCATACTCCCTCCTCTTCCCCTTAACATCCCAGAACCCCTTCCTCCCCTCCCCCTTCCCGCCAATCCCGCCATCTAACCCCAAAAACGCATACGGATCGCCCTCACTCAAGACCTCCTCGCCCTCTTTTGTGTAGTAGCCCTCGCCGTGTCGTCCTTCCCGCGAAATCTGGCCCGCCCATTGCGCGTATTGTATTGGCTTTAGTGGCGCAAACGATATGACGATGCCGAGAGAGAGGATGAGGATGGAGGTGAGGAGTTCGAGCGAGATGTCGAGGGGGAGGGGCGTGGATGCGAAGGTTGCGGTGTGTTCGTGGGTCGAGTAGACGCTGGTGGGGGTTAGTTGGTGCGTAGGGATTGTGCGCTTATGCTCGTATGACCCTCTGTTTGGGGATATGGAGATATGAGCTACGTGTACACGTACGCATGTGTGAGGAAGAGCGCGCCGATGCCGTTGAGGGCCGTCCCTAGGATGGCCATTGCGAGGTTTGGTGGACCGTGTGCGGCTTGTTGACTTTTCGAGAGTCTGACGTCGGCGATAACCGGCTGTAAGTTGGAAAGTACAGGGTCTGGCGAGCTATGTGTCGATGTAGCGCAGAAGGCGGGTGGGTTGGTGGAGGTCGGTGTTGGTGATGCGAAGCGACGAACTTCACTTTTGCTTGGCGCCGACAGGTGATCCGCCCGCAGACCCTGAGGTCTACATCATCACGACGTTCATCTTGTCAACTATCAACTCACTCCTGTTCAGCGACGCCAGTGACCTTGGACAGAATTACAATGTAAACCGTAGTACATCATCTAGGCTACAGTCTCTAAACGGCACATATCCTTCTTCGTCAAGCGACGTACGGCGTACAGACACCCATGCGCGCTGACGCCGACTGCTGCAGAGTCAGCAAGGATGTCAAGGCAACAGTCTACACGGCTCCGCCATTGGATCCCTAAAGGTTAACGCCTACTATGTCCGCGTTAACAGCGTTCGGAGAAGAGCTCGGAGAACACGGTCTCCGCCCAAATGTGCGAGAATGATGTTCGGGGGAGCATCGTACTGCGCCGGCTTTGTGTAGCAATGTCAACATAAGAGTGAAGATGCCTGGAAGGATAGACCCGGCTATCATCTAGCTGGTATCGTTGCCTTCCAAAGATATCGCCTACTCTCCTCTACCTACGGACTTCAATCTCTAGTCCTACTGCGTTGTGCATGCGTCCAAATACTAGCAATTCATCAAAGCAACTCTCTAGTCCCACCACCGCAGTAATGGCGACCTCACAACCCCACCCCCTAAACATCCTCATCACCGGCGCCGGCGTCTGCGGCCCCCTCCTCGCCCTCATCCTCCAACGCAGCAACCCCACCCACACCATCACAATCCTAGAACGCTACCCCTCCCTCCGCACAGGCGGCCAGCAAATCGACCTAAAAGCGCACGGCATCCCCATCATGCAGAAACTTGGTCTCCTCGAAACACTCCGGCCCTACTGTGTCCATGAAAGCGGTCTAGAATTCATTAATGGAAACGGCAAGAGCTTGATGCAGTTTGGTGTGACGGCTGCGGGGGAGAATCCGGGAAGGACGCTGACGAACGAGTTTGAGTTTATGAGGGGGGATTTTGTGAGGTTGGTTTATGATATCAGTCTCCAGGAGCGCGAGATATTGGATGAACAAGGGTATGGTGGGAGTTTGAAGTATGTCTTCGATACGACCATCACTGCATTCTCACCAAATCCATCGACAAAGACAACAACAGTGACTTTCTCCACGGGCTCGACATCGACATTCGACCTCGTCATCGCCGCAGATGGCCAATCGTCACGGACCCGCCGCCTCGCCTTCGGTCAAGAAACCAGTGACGCGTCTTTCAAATCCCTAAACATACACGCCGCGTACTACAACGTCCCGCGCCTGCCCACGGAAAACAGTCTCGCGCGTATCTACTTCGGTCCGCAGAACCGCATGGTCATGACACGCACGGGCGACCGTCCCGTCACACAAGTCTACCTCTTCCTCTTGAACAACCGTGAGGAGCGGGCGAGTCGCATGAGGGGTACGTATAAGAAGCCATTGGATGAGCAGAAGGCTGTTTGGACCGAGGAATATGGTGATGCGGGATGGGAGTGTCCGCGGTTTCTGAAGGGGTTGGAAGGGGCAAAGGATTTCTACGCTACAGAGATTGGGCAGGTTAAGATGCCAGCTGGGCAATTGTATAAAGACCGGGTTGTCTTACTCGGAGACGCGGGGTATTGTCCCTCTGCTTTTACGGGCATGGGGACAACACTATCACTTATCGGCGCGTATGTCCTCGCTGGTGAATTAGCGAAGTGCGGCAGTGATGTCGACGCAGCGCTGGACGCGTATCAAGAGGTGATGAAGCAGCCGGTTGAGGAGTGTCAGGAGCTGGGGCCATTGGTGAAGGAATGGAGGTTCTTTCCGGAGTCGGCATGGGGAGTTTGGGCCGTGGGCTGGGTGCTTTGGTCGATCTCGACAGCGAGGGTGGACAAGGTGTTGGGGTGGCTTGCGGGGTGGCTGCCGGAGGGGAAGGAGAAGAGGTGGGAGTTGCCGGAGTATGAGCACCTGAACTTGAGGGCGCCGAAGATGGAGTGAGGTGGACCGGGAGGAAGATGGATATCGATGCCGTGGCAGGTGATGAGAGGTTGGGGCGGGCGGAGTTTGTACTGTATGCATGCGCTGCGATGCGATGATACCAATCCCAACTCATGGTTATGAATGATGTAACACGATTGCCCCATCGTTTTCAAGAAGCCGATTCGAAAGCGATATGCAACGACTCATGTCTTCTTCTGCCCAGAAAGTCGCTTCCTCGCTCTTTGCCATCTTGACTCACCGCCTCCGCGATCAAGCAAGCTGTCCATCACCTGTTGCATGTCCCTTTTTCTTTCTTCAAACTCCGTACTCCAGATTCCAGGGTGTTCAAAACGCGTTACAAACACTTCCCACTTCTTTGCATCCAGCACGCCTAGCAAGCGAGAAGCATGTGATAACTCCTCTTTCGATAGGGTTAGGCCTCTGCCACGAACGTAGCTTACGAGATTGAACAGCACAGCGAATTCTAGAAAGCTGCTGATGGTGCCTTTGAATTTCCGAGGCACGATGTCGTCGTATACAGTCGCGTATATCGTTGCGGTACGGCCGACTTCATCTAGGAACTTGACTGGGCAGATGTTGAGCCGCTGTTCTAGTCGCAGTGCGTACTCGAGGCAAGATAGGAAGTGAGAAGCCTTGGTATTGGTGGTCCCGGCGACAGTCTTGAATAGACCTAGTTGACCGTTGGCCCAGTGCCATTCAGGATCGAAAGCATCATGCCCGGTGTTGTCGAGTATGATGTTCCATATTCGTTGAGATCGGACAAAGTCTTTCGCAATGCGGTGTGTCCAGGTAACACGAGACGCTATAGGTGGTTAGCTATAGTCGGATCAGTAATGGAACTCCAGCCTACCCTTGGACAATCCAGACCTTGCACTTCCCCACTGGCATTCTGTCTCTAGAAAGCCTCTGCATCGGGAAATCAATCGGCGATTCATCATTTCGAGACGCTCGAATATTTCATTGTCTGACAGCGGCCGGGCTTCATTCCTCAATGCCGCGTCATCGTTGTTACCGTCCGCAAACCATAACTCGAGCAGAAGAGGCCGTGGTTTTATCGTCATCAGGCGGAGGATTTGCGACGCGTGCTTGAGATGTTTCGTGTCCAGACGTCCGAGGAGTGTGGTGAACAGTTGCTCTAGTCCAGATGGCATTGTCTCGAGCCGAGCAACAAGACTGACCATGCGGGCTGTATGTGGCAAATCATCAAGCAATACTTGCACCACGATGTGTGCCCAGAGAAAGATACCGGCCGCCTTCTTAGCTATACCTTTGACCAGTTCAGTTTCGCGAGTGAGATCCGTTTTGCTGAGCTTGACGTATACTTGCGACCTTGCCAGGGAGGCCGTGACGTAGTTGCAGATATCCTGGCGATTCAAAAGTTCAGGGCGTAGATTATGCTGGCCTGTGAATGCGCGAAGGAGCTCTGGTGAAGATCGACTGGCAACGCAAACCTTGACATGTGGATATTTGGCTATGTCTTTGATCAATTGCAGAATATCTTTCAGATTACCTTCGAATTCGTCTAGGCCATCGATTGCGAAGAAGAACGATGTTGGTTTGCTGGGCGTTGAGATCATTGTTATGAAGGCCTGACGCAATTCAAGCCATGTGAAAGGTTGTCGACCTCCGCCAGAAGTAAGGAATCGTTGCCAGCGATGATGAAAGACCTGGATCAACGTCTCCGTGTCGCCTCTGAGCGCAGCGTGAAGCAAGCTTTGTAGAAGTCCCATACGCGATCTTTGCATGTCGTTGCCCAGACTAGAGGAGAAAAAGCTCGCTTTGATGAGTGTCCTTCCTTTGGCCCAGGCGCGCAGGTGGGTGGCGGTGCGAGGGTGACTAGACACGAATTTCATCAGCGTACTCTTCCCAGTACCCGGCTTGCCACCGATCCGATATGTATTGCTACACCCTGTTGCTGTGAGCCACCGAGGAAAGGCGTCGACGTCATCATTGTTGGGCTGTTCGGGACTTGCATCAAAGATCCATTGCGAGGTTCCTGGGTGCGCAATAGGAATCGCCTTGTATCGATCGTGCATGCCAGTGAAATGCAAGCGCGCCAATATCAAGCTAACGAAACGGCGTTCCACATCATTGCTTACGACGGAGTTCTCGAATGTGTCTGAAAATGCCGAGACATCAAATGTCTCCGTGGTCTTCCAATCGTGATGCGCGATGGACTGGAGTAGAAGTACATCAGGTCCTGTACTTCCATCCACCGGAAACAGCTTTCTCTCCAAATGAATTGAATGATGTTGAGCCGCATGCTGTCTATGATCTGGGTCAATGTGTGATCGCATTGGTGACGTCTCACTGACCGGAGCGAGGCAAGCAGAGCGACATCTACTTGCTTGCGGATAGAGCCAAGTTTATCCGCAAGATCACATATCGTCTTCTGACTGTAGTACAAGCTCAGAATGCTGCGTAGTCCTTGTGCAAGTACCGTCTGCTCATCCACGTCATGGTTGCGCTTCGCTTGATCCAGTGTGGCCTGTAAGATCTTCGCCACTCCCCCGCTATCGTTCGCCAATGCAATCAGCCGCGCATCTGCGCTCTCCTGATCGGGGGATATATGAGACTTGTAGTATACGCGTCGTGCCTTCTCAAATTGTTGTGATAAGTCGCCGAGATTAGCGATGGCGTCATCGAGCAGTGTAGCTTCCCCTAGGGTGGTGCCGGTGGATTTGTGTACTTTGCCCACCTTGTCCTTCTGGACCACTTTGCTCGAAAAATCGACGAGTTGTAGGACAGCTGAAGCCAGTGATACAGCCATCTGAGACTCCATGGAAGTGCGAGGTGTTACAGAGGGACATTGTCGATACGATCAGATAGGATAGAGAGTGACGGCTAAGGCGGCAGAGGATTGTGTTCACGCGCTTCGCTAAGGCTTCTGGCATCATTTAGCTCAGCCATGTTGGTGTAGTCGACCAGTCAGTATGAAAGAAGGGCGTGATGACAACAAGGGCTTGCTTTCTGCTGCTACCCAGTGTGCCTCAAGCAAATCTATACTCTTCTTAGTCATCGCAATGACGCGCGAGGATCCGATGGTGGGAGCATGGTCTGCTAACTGTGGAAACTCGAGTCGAAAACTGTGACCAAGAAGGAAATGCGCTAGAAGACATGTGAAGAGCGATTAGGGTTTGGGAGTGGAGAGCGGTGAAAGACCCGCAGCCGTGGTTCGCGCTATGCGAACTCGTCTTCTCTAGCCTTGCGGACCGCCGAGGTGCACCGTGCGCCAGGTAAGCTTTCCCGACCGTCGCTGATTGCACGTCACTCCACGACACATGACCATGGCCGAGTACTGGAAATCAACAGTAAGTCAGACCAAGACTGATAAGCTGCGTCATGCGCTAATTATACTACAGCCGAAATACTGGTGCAAGTTCTGCTCTACGTTTGTGAAGGACACCAAATTCGAACGCGCGCAACACGAAGCGACCGGCCGCCACCAAGGCAACATCCAGCGCAGTCTCAAAGGACTCCATCGCGAACAAGAAAACGAAAAGCGCAACCAGGCGCGCGCACAAGCAGAGGTCGCACGTCTAAATGGCCTCGTACCATCCGCATCCACGCCTTCCGTCGCAACTGGTGTAGGCGGCAAACCTACATATGAGAAGAAACCACAACAGAAGGCGACAGTAGATGACAGGAAAAGACAATGGGAGCAGTTAGCAGCCATGGGCGTGGCGCTTCCTGCGGCCGCAAGAGGCGATATGGCGATAGCAGGTGAATGGAAGACGGTCAAGGAAGAAGTCGTCGGAGAAGTGACGGAAGATGGAGAGTTTAAGGCGTCGTCGTTGAACAAGGGCGTACGGAAGAGGCAACTTGACGAGGATGAGGAGGAACGGGAAGCTGCTGGGGAGCTTATAACGAAACGGAAGGGCTGGGGACATACCTACAAGAGTTTCCCAGGCAGCAAGGGCGACGATGACGATATCGAGAGTTTGCTCGGGAAGAAGAAGCTACAAGCCGAAGTGAAGAAAGAAGACCAAGAAGATGTAGTGAAAGCCGAAGTTGAAGATGACAGCGGCACGAACACCCTTCAGGATATACCCACGGCCGAGGAAGCGGAGGCTAAGGCTGCTGAGACTGTTGTCAAGAAGGAAGAGGACGCGCCAGCTGCTCCGGCTGTGGTCTTCAAGAAGAGGAAGAAGGCGAAATGAACGACATCACCAGCGACACAACCCACAACATCTGCACCAAACGCTCACGCTACTACCCATCTCGTCCCAGACCTCTCTTATATCAGCGCCAATTTGAACTACAGACGAGAGTGGACTTTCGCAATAAGCCCGGGAAACTTCAAATGAGGTTTGCCGGTGAGGATGAGCAGGCGCGTGCAGCGGTATATCATGACCATCCACCACACGGGTCCAAATGACTACCCGGATGAAGAATCTGATTATCGAAGAGCTGCATGTAGCTAGTGTAGTACTGTTTTCAGGTGTCTTTGTGAAGGAGCAACCAATGGCGGAGCGGAGAGTGCAAGTAGGACTTTAGACTTAGCCAGGGCTGCCTCCCAGGGAACTAGACAGACTAAGGTGAAGGCACACCAAGTTCACTGTATTATCACAAACACATGCCATACTCTAAATACACTCGATGCTTGATTCCCTCCAACCGTGAGCTGCTCGTTTAACATCCACTACCCGATCGGCGCATGCACCTAAACCTTAAACCCCTGCCCAAACGTCTGCCAAGTAGCGTCAACCGCGAGATCGCGTCGCCAACACCAGACAACTGTCGCGCTGCACCACAACGTGCGCCTCAACCACAAACCCTCCACCACCGCACCCAGTACTCCTCATACTCCTTTCATGGTCGCGTAATAGCATGATTCAACTGCTAGTGACACACACGCGACCATGCATCTCATTAAACCACAGTGGTTAACTCATCCCGGTGGGTGCACCCGCGCATGCATGCCCTTTTCTGCTAGCATCTTACTGACATGCATTCCTACTAGGCGAACAGAAAGACTTTGAAGTATACAGCTGCCACGTTTCCCCTGATGGATCGCGCCTGGCCACAGCCGCCGGAGGTTCGTCAACCCACCCTCGATACCCACGGGATGCGCTGCACCTCAGAATATTGCTAACACGCATCTATAGACGGCTACGTACGTGTCTGGTCTACCGAGGCCATTCTGAATTCCAACGACCCCTCGTATACGAAGCCGAAGCAGCTCGCGGCTGTCAGCAACCACTCCGGCACCATCCATGCGGTCCGCTTCTCTTCCAACGGCAAATACCTGGCGTCTGGCGCAGACGACAAGATAGTGTGTGTCTATGCGCTCGACAAGAATGCGCCGACACATACAGCATTTGGTGGGTAGGCATCAGGCAGGTACAAGGGACGTAGGCTGATAGCATTACAGGATCGAACGAACCGCCGCCCGTCGAGAATTGGCGCGTCATTCGTCGCCTCATAGGACACGACAACGACGTACAAGATTTGGGCTGGTCATTTGACTCATCAATATTGGTGTCGGTGGGGTTGGACTCGAAAGTGGTAGTCTGGTCTGGGCATTCTTTCGAAAAGTTGAAGACGCTATCAAACCACCAGAGTCACGTCAAGGGCATAACATTTGATCCCGCCAACAAATACTTCGCTACGGCTAGCGATGACCGCACCATCAAAGTCTACCGATTCAACTCCCCGCCCCCGAACGCCTCGCAGCAAGACCAGGTCAACAACTTCGTCCTGGACCACACCATAACCGCACCCTTCCAAACCTCCCCGCTTACCACTTACTTCCGCCGCTGCTCGTGGTCACCCGACGGCGCACATATCGCTGCCGCAAACGCTACAAATGGGCCAGTCAGCTCCGTCGCTATTCTTGCGCGTGGAACCTGGGATGGAGATATCAGTCTGGTCGGCCACGAAGGGCCCGTTGAAGTAACCTCGTTTTCCCCAAGGCTGTTTTACCGGGATGAGCCAAGACCAGAAAAGGACGGAACCATTAACCAGCAGACGGTTACTATTGTCGCTTGCGCCGGACAAGACAAATGCCTGAGTGTGTGGAATACGAGCTTCCCCAGGCCGTTCATGTGCTCGCAAGAGCTGGCTAGCAAATCCATCTCCGACTTGGCATGGTCACCAAACGGAGAGACGCTATACGCAACGAGCTTGGACGGCAGCATCATGACTCTTGTTTTCGAACCCGGAGAACTCGGCTACCCAGCGACATTTGCGGAGAACGAAAAGACACTCGCTAAGTTCGGTGCCGGAAGAAGAGTTGGTATCATCGAGGGCACAGACGCGCTACTTCTGGAAGAGAGCAGTAAGAGTGGGGAGCTGAAGGGCGTTCAAGGCAGGATGGGTGCACTAATGGGCGACGGAGGTGCAGTTCAACCACCGACTATCACGAACGGCACCAACGGCGTCACTCCCTCAACAACCCTTACCAACGGATCGGGCGCCGCAGCACCACCACAAGCCCCGGCTGAGCCACCCCCAGACGTGAGGGTCGAGAAGCTCAAGCAAAGAGTGACTGTTACGAAGGATGGCAAGAAGCGTATAGCGCCTATGCTAATGTCATCCTCGTCCGGCGTTGGCGAGTCCTCGTTACCCCAAACACAGCTCCTTTCTGCGACGACAACGTCAGGCGGCAGAAGTGACAATCCCCACAACATTCTAGACCTTTCAAAGCCCTACGATGGTTTCCCGAGAGGCGGACTTGCATCCATGCTGATCGGGAACAAGCGGAAGTTCGCAGAGATCGAAGGCGATGAGGACCGGCAAGTGGAGAAACGACTGGCTGGTTCGGTGAAGCCTGGAGGCGCAGCAATCGTGCTAAACAGTGAAAATGGTCTTATTCCTCCCGCTGCTGCAGCTGCTAAGAACAACGAAATGACAGAGCCTCCAAAAGTCCTAAGACCGGCCATCGTCAACCCTTCCATGGCCCTCGCCCAGGTACGGTTAGCCGTGCCGAAAGTGAGAAGCGTCATCGTGCGAACTATGGACGGCAGCGAGCCACCGCAGAGTGGTGTCGACGCCAACACAGGCAAAGCGGAAATACCAGACACGGTCGTTTTAGAAGCGCGCAATGCCAGCGGACCATCACGGACGGGACGGCCACAAGACCACGACCCTACGCGGTTGACATGCACCAGCAAAGGACAGTCACTTTGGCAAGACTTCTTACCAAAGGCTGTGCTCTTGGTGACAGGCAACACAAACCTATTCGCTGCAGCATGCGAGGACGGATCAGTATACGCATGGACGCCAGCCGGTCGACGGACGCTCAACGCCATGGTTCTCGAAGCACAACCGGTAATCATGGACTGTCGCGGCTGGTGGCTAATGTGCATAACAGCAGTCGGCATGTGCTACGTCTGGAATCTCAAGACGATGTCTGCACCCCACCCACCCATCTCCCTAGCACCCATCCTGGACGTCGCAGCCTACGCCCAAGGACCCCACCTCACCCGGTCCCCCGGCATCGTCTTCGCACGTCTCAACTCAGCAGGCCGCATCACAGTAGCCATGTCCAACGGCGAGGGCTATACCTACAACCCCGACATGTACATCTGGCAACGCATATCTGAGCCGTGGTGGGGCGTTACAAGTCAATACTGGAACTCTACCGATTCCTCCGTCGGCAACATCCGCTCTTCGAAAGACAACAACGCCGCACCGAAAGAAAAAGACGACCAGGTCTCTATGGAAAACATCTCAGCAGGCATCATCCCCGCGCTCGAGCGCAATACAACAAACCAATCCCTCCTGCAAGGCCGCGCCTTCCACCTCCAGCGCCTCATCAAGATCCTCGTCTCTGCAGAAGGTTACGAGACCTTTGAGAGTTCGGCCAGTGTTGCTCATCTTGAGAACCGTGTCGCTGCTGCCCGTACACTGGGTGCAAGAGAAGAGTTCAAGATCTACCTCACCATGTACGTCAAGCGTCTCGGTGCCGAAGGTCTCAAAGGCAAGATCGAGGAGCTACTCCGCAGTCTTATGGGCAGTCTCGTCTCAGAAGAGGAAGAAGGCAACGACGAGCAAGACGAGGCCATGAAAGAGCCGGAAGAGATTTGTGGCTGGAAGAGGGAAGAGTTGTTGAAGGAAGCCGTGTTGATTCTAGGTAAGTTTCTCTTCTTCCCTACTATGTCGCGAATACAGTATACTAACCTCCCATGTAGGAAAACACCGCGACCTCCAGCGTATAACAGTCCCATACGCCCGTCTTCTTGGTATCGTAGCGGAGGGTCAGCGTCAAGATGACCAAGCTATGATCACGGATATGTAGCTTTCTTCTCTCATTTGTTGATTCACTTCTTCTTTTGTACTAAAAGCATCACTATAGCGACACAAGGTGGCTTGAGGGTTAGGCAACACGTACGTCAGGCGTCCATTGGCGTTGCTGGGAAGAACGGTATCACCTTTTTTTGTGGGGGAAAGGAGTGGATATTCACGTAATTGTAGAACAGTCTTGGTGGCGAAACGGAAGGCTATTTGTCCGCGATTGCAGCTGCAGGTTCGAATGAGATTAGTGAGAGTCGCTTGTCACAAAACATCGCAATGCGTGTTGAACGTGCCAAAGATTTCGAAATAAAGATATTTGAGTCTCACTCGCAGGGTATCTATCCAGAATTCTTTACACACACAGATCCAGAACGCCTCCCATCCCCCCTCTCTCTACTTCCTAAACAAACTCGTCTGACTCCCCACCAGCGGATTAGGCTGAAACTCCATATCATTCCCGCCCCCGCCCGCAAAAAGCGGCACACTATCATCATCCACCCTACTCCTCGGCTTCATCTCCTCCCCCCTCGCAATCTCAATCGTACTAATCACCGGCAACGCCAACAACAGCAACGGTAACAATTGACCGAAACTCCAGTTCCCTTCACTGGGTCCCACGAGATGAACAGACTGGGGTGGATGACCGAAAGCCTGGGACTCGAGAACGACGCGTATAGTAGCGCCGACGCCCATGGCGAGACAGGCGAAGAGACCGACGACTTGCACCGTTTTGAGCCATTTGGGATTGGAGCGGTTGTGCAGGTACCATGTTGCGAAGCCGAAGGTTAGGACTTGGCCTGCGATGACGGCGATGGTGCCGGCGATGGAGAGCGCGGCGTTTCCACTTCGGCCTTTACTTTCTACTTCCCAGACGCATGCAATAGGTAACCTGGGCTCCATGTCTTTCATGACCGTCTGTAGGATGAATACCCCAGAGAGGATGCCCAGGAACATGTTTACGAGCATGAGGATCTGCCGGATCCAGCGCAGCACCCAGTCGCGCTTGAAGTCGTTGACGAGGGCGAGGAGGGTGGCGAGGTTCGTGGCTGTTGATAGCAGGGAGAGAAGCCAGATGATGAAGAAGTGGTAGGGGACCATTGTTTTCATCTTTGCGAGGCCGACGGATTGGATGCCGATTCCGGTGAGGATCTGTTGGTCGGAGAAGGATTGCAGCAGTTTGCGGCTGATGGGAGCCGAGGTGGATTTTCGGAGGCCGAGCAGGATTATGGTGGCGGAGAGGAGGATGGAGAGGATGTTGGTTATTATGAAGGAGAGGAGGGTCTGGGGGTTGGTGTTAGTCGGGAGGAGAGGAGGATTGGGAGGAGGGGGACGTACGCCTGCGCCTGCTACTCCTGCGTCGGTGTTTGTCGTCTCGGGGACGGTGGAACAGTTGAACGCCATGGTGGTGTCTTCGCTCTTCTTCTCTGTTCGGGTGGTTGTGGTGGTGTCGAAGAAGTGTAAGCGCGTCAGGCCAGCATGCGCAGAGTCGTGATGTGGTATCGCAAAGTTCAAATCGCAGTCGCAAAGTCGCAAATACGCGCAACAACCAGAATGCCGTTAAAGAAAGAGTCGACCCGTATCGCGCAAGTTCACCAGGAAACCAACAAGAGACCAAGAACGAAAGTGAAAGTAACAGAAAGCAAGAACCTCAGCACAGCCTCACACAATGTCATCATACCCTACCAGGATCCCTCTCTCCATCGCATCTCCCATCTAATTTAAGGCATGTAGGCGAATCCGCCTTTCCCATAACCATCCACTATCCCAGGGGTAAAAGGATCGACAGCGTGAAACAAGGCGGTAATGCCGGCCAATAGCCGATCTCTGCCCGTTGACATCTGTGGCGTAAGCGCGCAACCTGCGACGTGTGCTGGGCCAGTTAGAGATGCGGGGTAGGATATTCCATGGATGGACGATGGTGGTGGGTTATGCGTTGAGGGTGAGAAGGAAGTGGAGTTTGCAGGCGTTTTTAGGTGCGAGGGCGCTTGCGCAGGGGAGAGGCGGGCGTGCAGGAAGGGTCCGCTGGCGTGGTGCGTAGCGTGGAGGCGGATGTTGGCGGATCTCAACTTTATCGGCTCATTCTGCATTTCTTGATCTACGCCTTTGTTCAGGGTCATGAATGTTTGTATAAATTGGCTATCGCTGAGTTGCATGCGGTGGTGCAAACTATCTAGCAGTGCTGATACATCCGTTGCGCATCTCGTCCATTTCACTCCTCCGAAGGCGCGGACGCCGGCTTACTCGTCGGCGCATACGCGCTCTTACCTCTGATCTTCGCACCTTGGAGGTAAAACCAAACTGGCACAGGTATCATCGCAGCAGCGAAACATCCAAGTAGAGTCGAAGCCCATTCAACGCCCATACCCTCGAACATCTCTTTCGCGAAGAGAGGAAACGCTGCTCCCCATATGCTACGAAGGAACGTGTTCGCTGCAATCGCCGAAGCGGCAAACTAGTTAACATGTTAGCAAGAACCTCGAAACACGGGGATGCGGGCTCTTCTTACCATGAGATAGGCGTCGATGATATAGTTGAACGACTGCAGAAAGATACTCATGATGCCAAATCCGATGAGCAATCCAGAGCACGTAGGCACGATCCAATGGATATCCGCGCGATACCCAGTCCATCCGAACCAGAACAAGCCTCCCGCGAAAGCGACACCACCCACGATAACCTCGGGTAACCGCCACTCCGGGATAGGAACATTGTTGTTCGCAGCAAGCTTCTTCTGGTATCCCGGCTGTCTCGCAAAGATAAACACTCCGGCAAACAACTCCCCAATGATCATTCCGAAGAACGGAAGACCACCAACACCGGGGTTCATGCCATGGACGCCCTGGAATACGATCGGATATGCCGTGAGGAAGAGGTATAGCAATCCGTAGATGAAGGCGATGTATATACTGAGCAGCAGCACAATGCGCTCCGTAACCAGCATCCTCAGGGGCCTCGAAAAGTTCTTCTCGATAAGTTGGCGGAAGTCGACTTCTATCTCTTCTTGCTTGGCGTGGATGCCCCAGTTCTTTGTGCGGCGGCGCAGTTCGGCGGCTTTTGCGACGAGGATGATGGGTGGGTAGGATTCGTCGAGGAAGAGGAGCATGAGGGTGAAGGAGGCGAAACCCATGAAGGAGCTGTAATGGGATGGTTAGTATACATGTTCCTTGTAGAAAGGAGGGAGGAGGAAGGGGGAAGTGCTTACACAAGGTACTGAGTCCATCGCCACGAATTCGACATGACGATGAAGCCGCCGATGAAAGGAGCGAGGAAAGGACCTGTAAAGACCATTACACTGAACAAGCAGATCGCTATTCCACGCGTCCTGTTGGCGAACATGTCGGCGAAGACTGCGGCAACGATCTATGTCCATATTAGCACCTTTGTCCCATCTATCAAGCATTCGCACGAATACTCACGGTAATCGGACACGCGCCAAAGAACCCCGCGAAAAATCGACAGATCAAGATAGTCTGCAGATCCTTGGCCGTCGCACACGCAATGTTGAAGACCGAGAAGCCAAACGATGCCACCACAAGCGGCAATCTCCTTCCCTTGAGCTCTGAGAAAGGTGCCCAGAGAACGGGTCCCGTGGCGAATCCTAGGATGTACAACGATGTACCCAGTGTAGCGACCACATAGCCGACGTTGAACTGTAGCTCGATAGCTCTCGTCGCGGTACTGAAGATCGAACTAGCGAATGATGCTGTGACTGTCGTAAATCCCTAGACATACAGCACTTCGAGTTAGTCTACATCCATCAACTGAAAGCTGACGCGTCATGTTTCCGGACGACCTAACGTACCAACATAAGCGCAGTAAACAACTTCTTCCCCAACGCCCAGTTCTGCGCATGCAACGGATCATCTTCGCCATCGAACTCGACGACATAGTCTTCTTGGTTGCCGAGAGGAGGAGGATACGGTTTTCCTGCGCCGAACGCTGGTAGTGGGCGAGAGCGAGAAGACCTGCTGCGGAAGACACCGAGGCCACCACGAGCGGCGTCGCCAACTGTTTGCGAATGCTGACTCTTTGACGTGTGAGCGCGGCTCAAGGACGAGGCATCGTGGCGGAGGGCTTCGACGTCGGTCTGAGGATTTGTCTGGGTTGGGGAGGTGCGTGAGGTTGAGGTGGCCGCTGTGCTTGAAGAAGATCCTGTACACAATACACCACCGTCCTTCTCGTTGTCTCTCTCTAAAATTCCGGCCTGGACCTGTGCGAAGCTGTCTGGGCTAGCATCTCGTTGTGCCATCTTCTGCGTGTAGCGGTTCGTTGTCGTCCAAGATGACTACAAAGAGTCCAGTGCAATAACGGATACTGCGACCCGATGCTATACATATTCCATTCTTCGCGCATGTTTAGCGGTCAGTATAGTATGTTGAACGTCCGTTCCTCCGCGCCGAACTCCACAACAATGTTGATCCCAGAGCGCGAGCATCGGGGATATAAAAATGCACCGACGAAAGAGACATTGTTATTCGCTAGAGCCGAACATGCGAGCTTTGCGAGTCATAAGGAATGTTGCCAGTGTTTCGTATAAATCCTATGCTACTTTATATCCTCAACTGTTGGGATTTCTACAGACTGATTGTGCTGATCGCGGCGTTTGGAGTGCGTTGTGTGGTTGGTGTGGATGGATGGTTAGCCATCATGGCGCCGTGGAACCCCCGAATGCACGTCGACCATGACTAAGAAAGCAGCGAGCCAAGCCTTCTCTCATGGTTTGTATATAGGGGGCATGGTCCCGAGCCAGACTTTGTCCATCGACGTTAGGCAGTCAATGTCGCAGTCGCTGATGTCTAGGTTTGGCAGCCCTAGGTGCCACCATTCTCCGCGTCGCGGCCCAAGTGCTAAGACGTGTCGTTGCGCTAGCCCACCTACCGTTACCACTCGACTTGGGCAGTACTTATACGAGCCGCGCCCTCATCAGGCTTACCATTACTACGTCCACGCCTGTCCTATGTGATACATCAAGTCACAAGTGCATATGGCAAGATGTGTTGTTGTCCCGCAGTGGGAGTGGTATCTCTACCATGTCGTGATTTTTGGTATTCGTCTAGCAACTGCTCATAAAGACGTGAAACCGTCCGTCATGATCATGCATAGTCTTCATCAAAAGGTCATAAAAAGGGCGCGCCAACAAGAAGCATCTACAACTTCTGCATGGCAACGATGTCGGTGGACTGGACGTGGTCCTCGAACTCTTCGATCTGTTGCTGGAGCTCGTCGAGCGAGACCTTGTCGTCCTCGACGACCAAGTTGATCTGGAGCTTCTTGATACCGAAACCGACAGCAACAAGCTGGGAGGCACCCCAGACGAGACCCTCCTTCTCGATGGAAAGAACGTTCGCCTTGAGCTCGTCCATGTTTGTCTCGTCATCTGAACAACGTTAGCATACAAGCCGGTTGGCTAATATGGGAAAACACATACCCCATGGCTTGACGTCCATAGTGACGATAGACTTGGCAGCAGGCTTGACCTTTCCAGCCTTCTTTTTGTTGTACTCGGCCAGACGCTCCTCCTTGATCCTGGCAGCCTCGGCGTCCTCCTCCTCGTCGTCGCTGCCGAACAGGTCGACCTCGTCGTCGTCATCCTCAGCCTCCTTCTCAGGTGCCTTGGCGGGGTTGAGGGTGAGCTCGGAGGACTCGGGGCCGTAGGCGGTGAACTCCTTGGTAGGGTCGCCAGGAAGGGAGTCGAACTCGCCCTCGAAGGTGAGCATGTGGTTGTACCAGCGCCATGCGTATGGGTACTTCTCAGGCGCGGGGATCTGCTTGATTTGCTGGTAGACCTTTACATCGGCCTGCGATGGGGAGTAGCTGGGGCATGTTAGCCAATGACTCCTTCATGATGTCTAGGCAAGATGTAGAAGGAGGGAAGATAGATCAGAGTTGCGACAAGCGCGTGGTTTTGTATTCAGATAGCGGGGTCTTAAGCCGCCTCATTAACACGGACCAATTGTTCTCATCATGAAAACTTGGGGGGTGCGACGCAATGCAGGGGAGGTACAAAGCGGAGGGAGTTGTATGGCGGGGTAGGAACTTACCCAACAATGTAGCTGCGGGTCTTGACATAGTTGTTCAGGAGAGTCAGGCCTGCTTCGGAAACGAGATCGGTGAAACCCATAGTTGCAGATGTGGTTGCGAGTATGGTATGGGAGAATCGAAGGTGTTGTGTTGAGAGAAAGAGGGACGGCAGCAGTTTTTGATGGAGGCTGGAGGAAATTGCACTGAGAAAAACGCGCTAGCCTTGGCGCTAGCACGTGCCCCTCTCTGCCCGCGACAGTCACGAACACGAAGAGTCAACAAGTCATACTCGTGCCAATCTTTGTGCATCTAGATCTTGCATATAATACCCACACGAACACATTCTCGTTTGCGCACTCGGCTTCCACCCGTATCGGTTGTGGATGCTGGAAGCCTGGAGTGTTTACTCATAGACGCGTAGAAATCTATCGAACCACCGCGCATCTTCGCCGAAGCCTGTGCTCCCGCCATCCATCACGAATATAATGATACCATCTCCATATTCTCCGAATTGACTGTTGCTTGCTTTTTGACTCCGACATCGTCATGCTGACCAGTAGAGCACGCATAGCCGCGAGGCGCATCGCCTCCCCCTCCAACTCACGATCACTTCCTACCCGTACCTCGCCGTCATTCCTCAACGCTTCCGCCATACGATTGCCTCAACAACAGAAGCTCCTTAGACCGCTCATAACGTCTCGAAGCTATGCCACCAACGGAGGCCGACCACACCCTCCAGGTGGAACCCATCGCATGAACCTGGGTGGCGAGCCGGAAAAGCCTGCGTTGGAACAATATGGTGTGGATCTTACCGAGCGAGCCCGTGATGGCAAGCTGGATCCTGTCATCGGACGAGATGGCGAAATCCAACGTACCATACAGATTCTATCGAGACGAACGAAGAACAACCCAGTCCTGATCGGCTCTGCGGGAACAGGAAAGACTGCCATCCTGGAGGGCCTAGCCCAACGAATCGTCAAAGGCGACGTACCCGAGTCGATTAAAGACAAGCGCGTCATATCTCTTGACCTCGGGTCACTTATCGCCGGCGCAAAGTTCCGCGGAGACTTCGAAGAGCGTCTCAAGAGCGTCTTGAAGGAAGTTGAGGAAGCGAAGAAGGGTGTTATCTTGTTCGTGGACGAGTTACACACGTTGTTAGGTTTGGGCAAGGCAGAAGGCAGCATCGATGCCAGCAACCTGCTGAAGCCCGCTCTTAGCCGCGGAGAGCTACAACTCTGCGGTGCAACGACACTCAACGAATACCGACAAATCGAGAAGGACGCGGCGCTTGCGAGACGATTCCAGCCAATTCTAGTTGGCGAGCCGACGGTACAAGACACCATCTCGATACTGCGCGGTATCAAGGAGCGATACGAGGTCCACCATGGTGTCCGCATTACCGACAACGCCTTAGTCGCCGCCGCTGCGTACAGCAACCGATACATCACCGACCGCTTCCTTCCCGACAAGGCCATCGATTTGGTAGACGAAGCCGCGAGTGCCCTGCGCCTCCAGCAAGAGAGCAAACCCGATGCCATCCAAGAACTAGACCGTCAAATCATGACCATACAAATTGAGCTGGAATCGCTGCGGAAGGAGACAGACATTGCTAGTAAAGAGCGCCGTGAACGCCTCGAAGAATCTCTGAAACAAAAGCAGGAGGAAGTCAAGGGCTTGACCGAGAAATGGGAGAAGGAGCGAGCTGAGCTTGACGAAATCAAGAATGCGCAGGAGAACCTCGAACGGGCGAAGCTTGAGCTTGAGCAAGCTCGCCGAGAGGGTAACTTCGCCAAAGCTGGTGAGCTGCAGTATAGCCGAATCCCTGAGTTGGAGCAAAAGCTTCCCAAAGACGAGGAGGTTACCGCAGGCGCCAACCGACAGGGCTCCTTACTACACGACTCTGTTACTGCCGATGACATCGCATCCGTCGTTTCACGCACGACCGGCATTCCGCTCTCCAAACTCAACTCGGGCGAGAGTGAGAAGCTCATACACATGGAAGATACCCTACGGCAATACGTCAAGGGCCAAGACGAAGCATTGAAGTCCGTTGCAAACGCTATCCGTCTGCAGAGAGCTGGCCTGTCCGGCGAGAACAGGCCCATCGCTTCCTTCATGATGTTGGGACCGACTGGTGTAGGAAAGACCGAAGTCTGCAAGAGGCTAGCGGAGTATCTGTTCAGCACTCCCCAGGCTGTCATTCGATTCGACATGAGCGAGTTCAGTGAGAAGCACACGGTTTCCCGCCTCATTGGTTCACCTGCAGGCTATGTTGGATACGAGGACGCTGGCCAGCTTACCGAAGCTGTCCGACGAAAGCCCTACGCGGTCCTCCTCTTCGATGAATGGGAGAAGGCTCATAAGGATATTTCTACGCTTCTTCTGCAGGTACTTGACGAAGGCTTCCTCACAGACGCCCAAGGACACAAGGTCGACTTTCGTAACACCATCATCGTCATGACATCAAACCTTGGTGCTGATATCATCGTTGGTGACGATGTGTTGGACTCTGCTGGAAAGGAATCTAGTGAAATCTCACCCGCAGTACGCAGCGCTGTGATGGACGTTGTGTCAGCCACATATCCACCGGAGTTCCTCAACCGTCTCGATGAATTCATCATCTTCCGCCGTCTGTCACGCGAAGCACTCAGAGATATCGTGGACATTCGTCTCAAGGAACTGCAGCAGCGACTGGACGACCGCAGGATCGTGCTGCAATGTCCAGACGAAGCCAAGCAATGGCTATGCGACAGGGGATACGACCCGAAGTTCGGTGCTCGACCGCTAAACAGGCTTATTGCACGTGAGATCGGCAATAGCCTTGCGGATAGAATAATTCGTGGAGAGATTCGCAGCGGAGACACGGCCAAGGTCGCCATTAACGCGGAAGGCACCGGTCTCACTGTTGCTGCCGCATGAAGAAGTATGACTAACGACGATATGACTGTATAACAGACTGTAAACTGTACTATTGCATGTACATAATGTAGCATCAACGGCGTTTGTAGGTAGAATATTTCCTCTCTGTAGATTGCACCAATGCACGAGATTCTCTTCTTTGATCCAGTATCCCGCGGCAGGCACGCGTCGCGTAAGCTGCCATGCGCGACTTCCTCTTTCATCTCAACCCACACAACTTATTATTCTCTCACCTCACCGACAGTCAGCCCCATTAAAGTCATCTTTCTCGATCACTGCGATGGCGCGCAACTCTTCATACCGGAATCG